TTGTATTAATAATAACAATTAAGATAACAGAAAAAGAAAATACAAAAAAAAGAAAAGAAAAAAAAAATATAACATAAACAAAATTAATATAAAACAATATGACAAAAATTAACAATTTAAAGAGGAAATTACAGATCAATATAATATAGTACAATTCGAAGTAACATATATAACCTGAAGATAAAATCGAGATTTCTCACTTCCTGCAGTTCTTGCCTGGTGTAAAGCCTTCTTTTTTTTTTTTAAATAATATCTAAATGACATTATCTAGTCTTTTTTTAAAGACAGCTAAGGATAACGCACAAGCTACATCGTTCGGTAATTTCGTTCCAGTAGTTATTAGTACGAATAAAGAAGTCATGAGTCCTTAGTTTAGTTTTGCATATAGGTTTTAAAAATTTTAAGCCATTAGTTCTTGTTGGATTCAAATTTAATCTAAAGTTATAATATTTCGAGCAATCTAGTTTAACATAACCATATAGAATCTTATATGTATAAATTAAATCTTGTTTAATTCTACGAACTGAGAGAGAATCCATGTTATGTTGTAGAAGTGTTCTTTTATAATTAAAATTATAATTTTTATTAGGAGAGAGGCGTCTTAGAAAATATTTTTGGAGTCCTTCGATTATTTTACCTGTTTTGCGATGTCTAGGGGAGTAACATATAGTATTGTAGTCAAGAAGAGGCCGAACGAATGTTTTGTATAATTTGATAAGAAAACTTTCAGTTTTGTTCTTAAACGAACGAAAAATAAAATTTAGTATCCTTGAGAATTTCTTTACTATGGTTCTGCAGTGAAGATCGAAATCGAGATTTTCATCCATGATTATTCCAAGATCGGAGATGTGTGAGACTTGATTAAATTACCATTTATAAAAAGGTTAGGAAGATCGAATCCTTTAGGATTGATGTGAAGAACGCTACCTTGCATATACAAGTACCTTGCATTTTTGAAAGGAAAAGGTAATTTGCCTGTCATATAGCCAGTCAGCTATTCTGTTGAGGTCCTCCTGCAATGGAGATAGGCTATCCGTTCTACCATGAGAATAATAAATTTTACAATCATCAGCATAAAGATAAATAGTAGAATTTATTACCACTGTGGTGGTATCATTTATATATAATAGAAATAGCAATAGCGCAATACAACTGCCTTGGGGAACGTCTGATTTAACAGGTGTCATGTCAGAAAGAGTGTTGTTAACATATACAATAACATATACAGCCTGGTAACGATCTTTTATGTAATCTGAAACCCAGTTATAGAAGTCCCCTGTTATGCTATAACTATTAAGAGTGACCAATAATTTGGTATGGGAAACAGTATCAAAAGCCTTAGCCAAATCTAGGTAACTGATACTATTTTTCCATTGTCAATTGATGCTGACCAATCAGAGAGATTTGCCAATATTTGTGAAGAAGAAGATTTTTTTGTACAAAAGCCATACTGATAAGAAGATATAAAATTATTGGCATCAAGATAAGTAAGCAGTTTGTTACAAATCAACCTTTCAAGTACCTTGCTACCAACACATGTTAAGCTAATAGGTCTGTAATTAGAAGCGTCATAGGTGCTTCCTTTTTTATGAATGGGAACTATATGGGACAATTTCCATTTGGGATTAAGGCCAGACTTCATAATATCTTTATAAATTAAAAATAGGGGAAGACTGAGAGAGACTGCGCATTTTTTATAAATTATTTGTGGAGTGCTATCGGGACCAGCTGAAATGGACGGCTTAAGTCTATTTAAGGCATCATAAACATCCAGTAGTGTTATTTCAATCTCGCAGAGAGAAGTGCAACAAATTCGATTTACGTTAAAACAGGAAGTATGAATATTATCCTCAATAAACACACACTATACTGATTAAATATATTTGCAATATCAATATCAGAGGTGATCACATTATCATTATGTTGCAGAATTAATTGTTTACGTGAATTTGCAAATTTTCTTTTGATATAGGTCCAGAAAGAATTTCTATCAATATTTAAAAGTTGTTCTTTTTTATTTGAAAAGTAATTATGAATGGCGCTACGGAAACTTTTTAAGCTTTCTTTATATGCAGAGAGGTCATTTGGCAATTTGGTTAATTGATATTTATTATAAAGCTTCTTGACATTTTTCTTAAGGGATTTTAGAAAATTGGGAATCGACCTAATGTTCGTTTTCTTAAAGGGATATATTGGTCTATAAGATATAAAATGATATAAAATGCTATTAAGAAAATTAACTTTTTCATCGATAGAGGGAGTTAAACAGAATAAGAAATCCCAGTTTTCTGCGAGGATAAAATTAATGAATTCATAATCACAGTGAAGGTAAATTCTAGAATATCTCGAGAGAGGTGAATAACAGTCTAATTTTAATGAACCATGAATGATATTGTGATCACTATTACAAAAAGGTTCCAAGGCTCTAATACTATCAACAAGAGAGGTAGAGGTAGCCAACACAACATCTAATATAGTGTTGTACCTAGTGGCGACCTTAACATGTTGCTCTAGACCAACATAGGTACAAAAGTTTAGAAAGTTCTCTTCAAATTTATTGCTACTTTTTAAGCAACTATTTTTCCAATCTATGTTTGGCATATTAAGATCACCAACAATTACATAATCAGTACCAATTAATTTTAATTTGAGTAACAAGCTGTAAACGTCCCTAGTGAATTTGCTTCCATAGCCCGGTGGGCGATATAGATTTAAAAGAAAAATATTTCTGTTGTTAAGATAAATTTTAATTATCAAAGATTACAGAGGAGCAAACATAATCATCGAAGGTTATAAATTTATAATAATCAGGAATAAGCATGATAAGCCCACCTCCACGAATATTTGAATTATTTATTGTTCTATCCTTGCGTGATACTACAAAGCCGTCAAAGTTTAGTTCGCGATTATCAATAGAGTCATCCAACCACGTTTCATTGATAATACTATTTGGATTACAGAAAATACTATTTGGATTATCAATTAGTAAAAGTCTTAAGTCATAAAGTTTATATTTTAAACTTCTTACGTTAAAGATATATAAAGATAAATTACCTCCTATTTCATTAACCTTACTTGATAACTTGTCCTAGGCTGCTGCAGGCTGATGAGAATATGTTGGAATCAAAAAATTGCTCGTCGGTGCAATCCATTGGCGAGGCTGCCTGAGTTCCACTATTTGAAGATTTCTGACGACATACTTTTTCAGATTGAGACTTTGATTTCGTGTATAACATTCTTTTCGCAGCTGTTTATCTAGCAATAATTCTCTTTTCATCAGATCTTTTCGCAAAAAACTTCCAGGGGGAACGATCGAGCGCACATCTTTGTTACGCAAAACAGACATGGCCATATGCTTATCTTCGAAACGAATTTTAAGTACTCGTGGCCTGCCTGTCCCCTTCCTTCCATGTCGACGAACCTCCTTAATGAATTCAGTCTTGAACCCAGCGGCAACTACAATGTTTTCTGCTAAAAGCCTATCAGCAATAGCAGATTCATCATCCGTAGATTTCTCTGGAATGTTTATACCAACTAGATATGGTTCTTTTTCCTTCTTTTCAAAATATTCTTCAATGGGTATTCTAAAAAAATATTCTAAAAATATTTTTTCCAATACTTGTTCAGTTTTAATTTTTAAATGCTCGAAGTTACTCAAAGACGAGATTTTCAAATTATTAATATCATTCTTAAGTTCTTCGTTGACCTTTGTAAGTATTTCAACAGATCTAGTTAAATGCATAATTAGATCTTGTTGTTTTTCATATTTCTCAGTAATTAAAGCTAGTTGTGACCTCAGATCCTCGATAGTTTTATTTAAACAGCTAATATCATTATTTTAAACGGTCCCATTTGTTACTACTTTTTTCGGTGCCATTTGGAATTTCCTTTTATCTTATAAGTATAAAACGATAATAACAATATACTTTTGGAAAGAATATCTTTTAGACAAATGCAAGAAGAATATAGCGAAGCACAATATGATATAATAGAAATAATGAATTAAGATATGATTATTTTGATCTTCCTTCCTTTAAACTAAACTGTTTGCCGGCGAGTCACAAGGAATAAAAATACAAATATATGATTTTTTACGTGGGGTTCAGTTTTACCACAGCTTATTCTTAATGATAGCCTATTTATTGGATTTATTCTTCTAAAAATTTTAGGAAGCACCACCATATAGTTTGTATGATTGGAACAAAAATTTATCGTTTAACATGTCGCTTAGCTATCGCCGAGACAGTCCTATTTCGTCACCATATGGATTTGCTATGAAATTAGCACCGAAATCGAGCAAAATTGGTAGAGACGTCACTGAAAGCATTATTCAACAAAAAAGATTTCCTATTGCATGGTTTGTAACTCGTCGCCAGTCAGAAAGTAAACGAGAACGCCTTGTGGATGAACTTAAGGTGTCTAAACAAATACTCATTAAGAAATTCCCACGAAAAAAAATTAAAAAATTACTAAACAAGTTAACTCAATTCAATTTACTTTATTGCGATTCTTATTCCGAAACAAATTGATATTTACTATTCATAAATAGTAGTAGTAGTTGAAGTGTTTTAAACTCACTCGTTCAGCTAATATTTGCAGATTTTCAGAAGTATATCAAGGTTGACATTTACAGTGATTCTATTTTATGTCCAAGATACTCAAAGTGCGAAAAAATGTTAGATATAAAGTAAAAGTTTAATATAGAATTGCAAACAAATATTTAGCGCATTTTCGACAATTAACCAGGTACCAAATGTCAATACAAATGCCAAATGCAACAATGATTCCTAGAAGCTTGTTGTAGCATAGCAATTTTCTTATAGCTCGAGTACCCTTGGGAGTAACCAAGCTCTTTCGAAGGCTAATTGAGACTGGAGAAAGAAAATTTGTGCGAGTACTAGGATGTCATATGTCTCTGATCTTAGAATTTATGTTTGGCCTACGCAAATTTTATAAGCCTCATAAGTGAAGATTTTTCTGATGAATATAAGTATAGAGAATTTAAAACAACTCAGTTTAATTTCATTTTAATGCGATAAGTATCAATAGATATACATAAATGCTCTTTTAGAACTTCAAAAATTTTTAAGAGCGAAAAGGAGCTCTAAGAGTAAAAGGTTTAAGTACTTAAGAAGCATTTTCGCGAATCACTGATATCGTAATCTACCCCAATTATGGATGAAAAAAATCAAATATTTAATCTGTACTATGCTTTAAGAAGTCCATCCGACCGGTGCAGCATATTTGGAAAAATTGCTAATCATTTTGGCCGGTCACATAATTTATTAGTTCAGAAGCCGATAAATTTGTAGCTGATAAAGCTGTTTTCTAGGGTTGTAAAAATGATGCCTAGTTGTGCTACATGTACTTTCTTTTCTTTTTTTTTCTAAATCAGAGAATATCGCTATTATTATTTTCGGAAAGATTATTTTTCACACTAGAAACTGTAGCATTGCACTAATTATTGAATTATGAAACAGGTATTTTTTTTATATGGCATTCGAGAATTCAATGTGCAAAGATTATGCTACGGAAAAATTATGGAATCAAGGCTACCAACACGATGTTATTCCACTTGTACTGAAACGGAAATTCGTTCAACCATTTGCCCCACCTCATTCATTCATTGCTGCCGATGATTTTACTACGGCTGAACAAATGGCAAATTATCTGAAATATCTAATGAAGAACAAAACCGCTTATCTGTGCGTTTTTAACGAAATGATTTGATAAATAATACTTATCAAATAAATTTCACTTAATGCTCGTGAGAGGAGAATAGCCGAGTGGTATGTTGTTTCAACTGAGATTGAGCTTTCACTAAAATTGAGGTCCAGCTCTCTTTGAAAACCAGCATGCACCTCTATATCTGAAGAGTAAGAGCTCTAGTTAATTTTTTCATTCAAAAACTGGTCACACGGTTGTTTTTCAGAATTGATAGATTTTTTCAGTGAATATTTCATGTGGAAGAAAGATTATATAGCTATTTACGTGGACGGTAACAACCACGATATGCTTGAGAGACCATGGGGAATTTGTCAATTGTGCAGGTATCTTATAAAGACGCAAAATTATAGAATTCTTTATAAATATTTGTAGAGGAACAGTGTTGCAGTGTTTACTTTTTCAAATGGTTTTTAAGTAGATTCACCATTAAAAACTACAAAGTTTATCGTTAATCAATCCAAGCTTATTCACTAACACTATATTAATGGATATTAATTGACAAATTAACAAGCCTAATTTACGAACATTTTGAAAATAGAATACGAAATCTCATAATGTTCTTCGGCATGAAATATTATTAGAATATTGTGGCAAAAACCTCAAGTTCAACATAGAATCATAAATTTTCGCCAGTGGTGGATGGGCAGCTGCGACAACCAGTCATTTTGGAAAGAAATAGATACTTTTTGAATAAATATATTTTTGTATTTTGTGCTTAAAAACGTATTTTAAATATATTTGTTCGGAGAAAGCGGTAAATGATATTTTTGCGCCTCAATTCATGAATTATATAATATTTAATTCATTTACGATAATTCTATAATTCTTTATAAAGTATAAAGAAATAAAGAAATAACTCAAGAAAACTCATTAAACAACCCCAGCCCACCTCTCCACAAGCGAATAGGACTTCCAGTGGTGTGGCATCAATAATTTTATTCCTCTTCTAAAAGCTTGGCGGAATTTTTCTTTCTTCTTTCGAAATCCCAGTCAAGGGATTTTAAGTACGGCTCCGTGTAAGTGTGAAAAAAGAATGGAAAGGAAGGAAGAACCTTTATGAAAAAATCATACGAGGTTAGAGATAACCGGTATATAATTTTCGTTGAAATCCATTGTTTTGAATGGTCCGATTGTTTTTAATTGTTTTAACACACATCACTGGAGATGAGAGAAAGTTTATCGGAAAATTCCTGAAATTTTTTTCACCCACTAACCTTCTTGATAAACCAGTGATATTGGCCGCATCAATTTAGAAACTATATAAGTCAATACGAAAAGTTTTAAATGATTTTTAGATCTGTAAATCATGGTAACGAAGCTTGATTTTGAGCAAGTCCCACAAAAATTCATTACTTCACAATAATGCATTCTTAGGCTCGCTCTGCATTAAGAATTTCTCATAGTTCACAAAAAGCAACTGCAAGGCTCATGCAAAGCCTCCTTTTATTATTTTTGGTTTCTACGATTTATAATATCGCATCGAAATTAATATTGCTCTTCACGCGAAAGAAAATTCCGATAGTAGCTCTTAAAAGGTGACAGCCATGCGGTGCATTCGGTGATATATTTAATTCGCAACAAAAAATTATGGTGTAGTTTGGCCTGAAAGTATTGTTGGCAGTTAGGAAGCCAAAAAATACGGTTAAAGTAGGGTCAAACAGAGTGCATTTTCTATTGTTTTCCCTCTAAACTTCTAAAAATGTTTTCATGATTTTTACTGGAATGAAAAAGTATAGAATGGCCTCAACGAAAGATGGAATTTAGCCCAGGTAGCAGCTAAGAAGGCGTTTTCGTTCGACTGGCCAAATTAATGAAAATAAAAAAGTGAGAAAAAAAATTGGACTTGCTGCACTGGCTGTTAATAAAGCATGAAATTTTTGAGCTTCTTTGCGTGGGAGGCTGGCAGATTCACTGGCTGCGCGGGCCAACACGACGAATTTAGTAATAGTAAATTTAGCAACCACTCGGCTGTTCTACCCCCAACAAAGTTATTACGTTGTTGTGGACGCAATTTAAGAACATATGCAAATCAAATGCAAATTCAATTTATCTTCAATGCCACCATTTAGATTCCTCGTAAAATTGGACTCAAATTTTTTACCAAAATGCTCTTCATAGGCAAATTCGGTTTAAATTTGCCGCCATTTTTTCGATCTTCATTGGAAAATCTATTGGCTCTTTGCCAGAATAGGACTTCTTGATTTGGGAACTGATGGGTAATTTTTGGATATTGTGAGTTTCTTTAGGTTTCCTTGGGTTGAGTTTTTATAGGTGTGTTGGCATCGAGAAGGTGTTTTGTTTCCCGCGGAAGTGGATGAGGTGACGGCGAAAGAAAAGGGAGAAAAACGTTATCTTTTGAAGCTAAGTAGATGTTGTTAAAGCAGAATGTTTCTTTGGTAAAGATCAACTGAAGAACCCAACCTCTTCCATGGAATTGATCTCGTTAATATTTAGTTAGCAGCCAGCGAAACCAGTTAAAATAGAAGTGTTGCATAAGAAAGTGAAAAGTCATTAATTTTATCAGCATTCGTCGGCGGAGGTATCGGTCTGTGTATATGGTCAACTTCTTTTAGATGCAGAGGCGAGTAGATATTGAGAATGATCGATTGGATCAAATGCTCTTTGCATTCGGAAATCCGTTTTATTCTAAACCAGAAAAAAAGTTGAAACCACCTCTGCAATTCGTCTATATACCATCTACGCACGTTATAACCTTGGAGCGATTGATCGGTTCTGGTCCAAGGCCTTCTCGGTCATTAGGTGTCAATTTACAACAACAGGTAAATCATTAAAAATTATTAAACACTTGTTTTTCATTCATTATTTTTCATGTTTATATTAATTATATTACTGCTATTACTTATATTAACTTTTATTAGTAGTTTTAATAGTTTGAATTATCGTCTTGATTGCAGTTAGGTGTATCACAAATGGCACCAGAAGAAATTTTTGTGTCGAAATTGATGGAAAATTGTCTTTTGAAAGCTGCAATGGCTGGAATTCTTGGTGGGCTAGTAGGTGTCGGTTTCGGTTTGTTCACAGCGTCAGTTGATCCTAATTTTGCTCCAGTTGAAATTGCTGCAACAAAAATGGTCAGCTAAATTATGTTTATATTAAATTAAAAATGACACAAAAAAGAAATTAGAAGTTTGTACGAAAGTAATAATATTGAACATATGGCCGACATTCATTCTATAAGTGTTTCTGATTCTGTTCCTATTTGCCTATTCAATGTGTCGTAAAAGTAAGTTATATGGATGAGTATAATTAAACCGTTAAAGGTTCAAAAGAAAGATTTTAATTATGTTTATTTGGGTGAAAAGTCATGTTTCTAGAATTCAATATCCATATTATTTCTTTTAAATCATTTTTCTTTTAAATCATTCAGTTTTTCTTCTAACATTTTTATTGTAGTTGGGTATATTCGTTACTGGGTTGATTGGCTATATTGATTACTAGAATGAATCTGGCAGAGAGTCAGTCGAAGATACGATATAGTTTGACTTCCAACATCACCGGAATTCATTTTTAATTCAAGGAATAGAATTCAGATCTCTGGTGGCTTTACTGTGGTCCGACCATTGTAGTACCACTCTACCATAAAATTTTGTGGTTTGACGCAAATTGGTCCTTTGGTTAATTGCAATATTTTTTACAGCATTTTTTACATTTTCTTTGTTATATTATTCTTCGAAATATTCCTCAATGTCATTTGCCGCAGCTATTGACCATAATATTTGTTCCAGCCCACCTTAAAAGAAACTTGGCGGGAAATGAAAGGTAGGATGAAATCATACGGAAAGAATTTTGGATCGATTGGTTTCATGTTTGCTGGAACTGAATGTATGTTAGAAACTTGCCGTGCAAAAAGTGACTGGAGAAATGGTACGCTGTCAGGCGCAATAGTCGGCGGTGTGTTGGGTTTGAGAGCTGGTATAAAGGCAGCTATATTAGGAGCTATCGGTTTTGCAACTTTCTCCACGTTGGTTGATTATTATATGAGATAGAGATTTATTTTATTAAATTCGGTTAAGTTCTTTTTACGGGTTATCATTTCATTTTAATATTTGATATTTACAAAATGAAATGAATATTTACATCAAATTTGTTAACAGCATTTGTGACAACATAAGACAAAAGAGACATTGATTTATTTTTTATTAATATATTATTTTTTAGTTTTGTGAATTTGTCTTATGTTTCTTAAGAGAATCAATTTTTTGTCAAAAAACATTGAAGGAAATGATTTATTTCTTTTTCATGTACACCCATAAATAACTTTTTTTCCAACTGTGATATAATTTGATCTCAAAAAATTATAAAATAAAAGTATAAGATTGGAGAAGTAGGGATTGGATCACAGGATATCATAAATTTTTTAATTTTCAAAGATCGGTATTGTCGAGATAAAAATTATTTCGGATTGATTACTGCAGTAATACTACGAATGAAAAATTGCGCCACATAAATTTAGTTTTACAAATGCGCTATCGCTTTCATTCCAGGTAATGTTTCATTGTGCCTCGGCAGTCACTCTCGAGCAACCAGTTTATTTATGATTTTTTTATTAACTGGAAAATACAAAATACTTCTCATATCCTTATTATATCCTTATCATATCCTTTATAACGAAAATGTTGGAAAAGAATTTCCAGCTTTCCAAATTGTCAGATGCATATCGTTTCTCTTCTTTCGGATTATGTTGAGAAATTTTATGTTGGATTTAGGATATAGCGTAAAGTTGATTCAATTAAGAGACATCCTTTTTTCTGTACTGTACTGAACTTCTGTACTGAACTGTTTGTACTACTCTTCTATTCCTTTCTGTAGTGTTAAGCGACTGTTTTTCATCTGAATGCAGTATTTTATGCACCCATGGTTCCTTCATCGTTTTATTTATCTCATAAAGTTACCGTGGCGTTCTATCAATTCCAAATTATCTTCTTTTGACTATGTAAGATTTGTTCCCTTTAACCCTTCCAACGCTAAATTAACATCTCCTCCTCAACATTTGATGCGGATCTTCCGGGCAATGTTCCAGCCAATATGACCAGTATGACCTTAGTGTGCAACAATCTCAAGTAGAACAGATAAGATAGCCGCCCAAAAACTCTCACTTAAAAGATGAAGAGGCCCTCAGCACATATATTATTCATATATATTATAAATATAAAAACGAAAATAAGTAGTAAAGTTCCATTTCCATTTCTTTTGCAATATAAAATAATTTACAGAGGTCAAAATCTTTTTGAAAAATTTGAAATTATAATTTTTTATTTGAAGCAACCAAGCAAAGCGTTAAGAGCCATGTCCTTGTATTAATAAAAAAATAGGAATTAATGAGCGATATATACAAAAGTATTAAAAACTAACATAAAGGGAAATAATACAATAAAGGGATTACAGAATAACTCAAATTGAACTGAGTAGACACATATTCAGATAATAAATAATTTCAATAAAGTGAAGCTTTGAAATAATATCATGGATGATATCGTGGATGATAATTTTTTTAAAAGATGATGCACTGACATTCGGCATTCGGCACCTTATTCTTGTAATTAATAGTGCGAATAAAAAAGTCATGTGCCTTTAGTTTAGTTTTGCATTTAGGTTTTTAGCCCATTAGAACTTGTTGGGTTGAAATTTAAAATTACAATAGCTTGAACAATCTAATTTAACATAACCATGTAGAATTTTAATGTATAAATTAAATCTTAAACTCATGAATTGAGAGTGAGTTGAGGTATAGTTGAAATTGCGCTTTATAAGTGAGATTGCTGCTAGATGGGAGGCGACAAAATATGACGCTTCTTTATATATTTTCATAAGAAAGTGCAAATAATTACATCTAAAGGGACTGCAGAAACTACAAACAATTAACCCATATTTTTCTTAAAAATCATTTCAAATAGAAACCTTGGTCGCAATAAAAATAGTGGCTTTCAATTTAAAATTTTGGGAAATAACCTACAAAGTACTGATTCTTTAAAATATTCCTTATCCAAGATTGATGTATTCTGGCACTGTTCGTTAATACAAAAAAGATTTGTCAAAAGATAAAATTGTAGTTTTGTAAAAATAACATTTCTTTTGAACTATGTAAACACACCAAGCAATGAAACACTTCCCCACCTAGCTTCTAAGATTGTTAGAATATATTTTTTTGTTTATTTGATACTGCATTGCTTTTGTAATTCCCAGCCTAGCTTTACTTTCATCTTATAAGGCTTCCCTATATGGCTTTTCGCGACAAAATTTATTCACTCTAATAGTTAATGGAACCATTTAAACCAGCAGCGTTATCAAGAGAAGAAAGAAATCCCTTTTACAATGTTAAATTTTTTGTAATATTCTTAGAAAAAAAAGATAGGAAGAAGACAAATGGAATAGCGAGGAAGTTTGCAATGAAAACTAGCACCATCAATGATAAAATTGATGCGAGACAATCGGTGTAATCTTTTTTTCGAATATTCGCTTGTAAGAATATTATTTTATAATATTTGAATAAAATAATATATAAAAAATAAATAATATATAAAATAATATACAAAAAAATAAAAATATTTGAATAAAATAATATCTGCATATGTAATAAAATAATATTTGAATGAATATTGTTAGCCTCGATATAAGAGACTATGCGAAAGGATATTCAACGCGATGGAACTATAGAAACTGCAGATAAATTAAAAGAAAATTTTTCTTTATTTTCAAGATTATACTTTGAAATGCATATAACAAGGGAATGGCTTCGGATTCAGTTTAGATAATTCATATAATTCATACTCACATTTTTCAAAACATCATTTCCAGTTGGCAGATTGAATTAATGATTTGGCAGTGGATAACGTGAATGAGATAGAATTGCTCAGTAGATTGTTGATCAGTTTGGATGCTGAGGTTCGATTCCCCGCATGAGCAAACGTGTACAAAAATCCGGGTGATGCTGGCGATCCCTGTATTTCTATCGCCAAGGGACCCCCTGGCGTATTGCCCAATGTGACAAGCCAGTGGAACGAATTTAACTAGTGAGGACTCTTTAAAAAAAAAGTGGATAATGTATTGTGGATTTCTGATAAGTTATAGCAAATAATTTTAAGATATTGTAAAACGACAATAAGATGGTACTCAAAATAGACAAAATCTATGTTATATAATCTTCAAAATTTCCAAGATTTCTTTCTACTTCCCCATTTTCAATATATGTATATTCAATATATTATTACATTCTGCAAAATTTATTCACCAAGGAAATAAAAAATTGGAAGCAATGAGAGCTCGATATATTTTAATAGTGGACTTGAATCGCCAATGGATAATGGTTTAAATCATGATTTTGGCTGAGATTATTAAAAACTGAATCTCCTGAAAAGTTAATCACTCTTTCACTCATATTCTCACAGTGACTGTAAAAATTTTAATAAAAATTGGAAATTGATTTATCAGACAGTAAAAATTAGAGGATTTTCGGAAGCAAACTTTTAATATTTTCCTTTTTTCCTTTGTATAAAAAAAAATTATTCGAGATCTGAATTTGCATTACAAATTAAACTGAAAAAGTTTCGATTTTTTGTCGATTGAGTATAAAAGAGTAATTCTTAAGAGTAATTATGCATGTAATACTAATACTGAAGAAAGAATAAGTTAAAAAAAGGAATATTCAAAAGGAATATTCATTTCAAATTTATCACTTTAATTTCATCGTTAAATATTTTAATTAAATATTTTTCTTAGCTGAAAGCGGTTGGTTATTTCAATTATATTTTATTCCTTTAAAAAAATTTTTGGACTATGTACGAGAATTTATGAAATTTGAAAATTCAGCCTATGCGTTTGCATGGTTTAATTCATTTGTAAAAGAGCTGCATCTTTTAATAGCATCAATCACTTCTGTTTAGCTGGCTGCATTGGCTGTAATTTACGGATGAAACCCCCAGAGAGCTTGAAGATAATGGAAAGGATAGGTCTTCAACACCTTCTGGATTTCTTTAAATGATTCTCCGGTTCATACTCCATTAATGATACTCCATTAAGAAAGTAGATCCGAGCCGATAATAACTTCATATTATTCGAAGCATCATTTTTCGTCCACTCTATCTCTGATCCACTTATCATTTACAAGAGAACATATCTAATATTTGAGACTGCATATATATTTTATCTCCCTCCTTTATACAAAAAGTCGAGCTGGAAGATTTTTGATATCTATCAAAAAATTGCGTGTACCAATTGAATTAGTAGGTGAACCACATGATTGAATTTGCAGGCATCATGAGAACAGCACTAGAACAAACTATTGCAACATGCCAAACAATTAATGAAAAAATTATCCATCAACTTATAATTAAATTTTTAAATAATTATGGACGTCTTGGTGGATCGCAACCAATGTTCTCAGTGGAAGAAATCGTTTTCGTATGTGGTTATTCGGGCAGATTCATTGCAGACCAAAAATTCACCTTAATTTAATTTTATTGAATAGTTCCACATAATTTTAACTCAGTAAAAAAAATCGCGTGGCTAGAGCAAGAGATTGCTTTTTCTTCTTTTTCTTCTAATAGCTCTCACCATTACTGGTTAGGCTGTCTCCAACAGCAACAAGGGTAAGACGCTTCCAAGCGGCGCGGTCTGATGTTATCGTCAACATTAATAGAAGCTATTCCTTTTTCCATCTTCTAAGTCCATATATTGCTGGTCCACCTGCCCTAAAATCTTTCCTGACCATATCAGTCCAGATCTTGACTGGGCCACCCCGCTTTTGACACCAACCACCACAAATAACGAAATATATGTTAACTCCTGTGGTGGACGATGGAGAACATGCCCTAACCAGCAAAAGCGACGCTCTGTGATAACATTATTAATGCAAGTGGTACTTGAACGAAGGTGGATGCATTCATGCGATTTTATCCACTCGACGGACAAGTAAAATGTAATCACGGCAATATAGTGCAGACTTTCGTTTTTATGGTGATTTCACGACGATTCCATAAAGGTTTCGTCAACCATGAGAATGCATTTCTAGCTGCCGTGATATCCGAGTTGTAATATCATCTTTTGACTGTCCATTTGGTATTAGAGTGGGCCCAAGATATTTAAAATCGTGCACTTCCTCAACCGGCAATGAATTTATAAAAAGAGGAGAGGCATTTTATCAGTTTCTTGCACATAAGACGAAAAACCTTTCGTTTTATTTACATTGCTTCTGAGTCCGATTCTTTCTGCAGTTTCTGATACATTATTTAGTATTACTTGCATTTCGTTATAACTGTCACCAAAAAGGACTACATCATCAGCGTATTCAAGATCTGTGGTACGATGCTCTGGACTAATTCGGACACCTCTTGAGTGCCGACAAGCAGTGTCCATTATCCATTCTATCGTCGTTGAATATTGTGGGGGAAAGGACGCAACCCTGACGGACATCTGTTCTTATTTCAAAAGAATCTGTCAGCTCCCCATATACACAGACCTGCGCCGACTTGCGCTCATAAAATGCCTTTATGAGTCGAATGATTTTCTCTGGAACACCATTACGTTCCATCATCCTCCAAAGCGCCGCTCTATCAATTGAATCAAAGGCAGCCGCAAAGTCGATGAAATACGTGACAGTGGGTTGCAAATATTTGAAGCGATGTTCCAACATCCTTTTTAACGTGAATATCTGGTCAGTACAACCGCACCCTGGTCTGAAACCAGCTTAATTAGGGTGCATCCTGCTGTACTTTCATAAGTATGTTGAGTAACAGGAAAACAAAAATTTTCACTAAGACGTCCAGTAGGCTGATTCCTCGATAATTGTCGCAGTATGTCCTATCACAGAATACTTTTGTTGAAGCTGCATTATGAAGGACGACGGATAACATTTGAAAAGCTCAATACGATGGTCGCCTAATCGAGCCGCCGCTTCCATTCTTGAGGCCATGTTACTCCAATAGTGATTTCTATCCCGCCTTGTTGCTTTCGTTGCAAATCTTCGAAGCACCTGGTAGTCAGGATCATCTAACATTCGTGCTTTGCGTGCTTTGGCAGCTTTTTCAGACAAATGGATAGTTGTTTCCGATACCCAACTAGCGCTCTTCCGACTAGTATGACCTAGCGTGGAAGTGGTTGATTTTCGGAGACATTCCATTAGTTTGGACCAGTATTCATTTGCCATTCAAGAAAAGTCATTGATATTATATCACGGAGATGCTTCAATTCAGTTTGAAATGCGCTCACTGTCCCCGAATTTTTTAATTTGAGATAGTTGATGGATCTTGGAGGATGCTGTTTTCTGCGAGTTGTCAATTTTATGCGGACCTTGCCTCGAATCATAACATGGTCAGATCCATGAAGATTGCCCGTTTCAGCGCCGCGGTAGGAACAACTATCGGAACTCTTCCAACGACGATTGGCTAAGATATAATCAATCTGGTTGGTTGAAATGTTGGTTGTCCAGAGAGTTCCACGTGACTAGATGTTTTCTATGATGCCAGAAGCAAGTATTAGTAACAAAAAGTTCATGCTCCTCGGAAGAAGACTTTTCCCATTGGCGCACCGGTCAGCGATGCCATATTTGCCAATTGGAGAGGTTATCGCAGTGGCATTATGACCTACGCGCGCATTCAAGTCTCCTTCGATTATGACCATTTCATATTTTGGTAGAGACTTTGTTAGCACTTTGTTAACTTTATTAATAAATTTTGTTAGTTTTGTTGAAGTTCCGCATATAACTTATCTTTATCACGGTCATCTGCCGACAGAGTTGGAGCATAGACATTGATGGCCGAAATATTGCAGAATTCACCATTAAAACGGACATATGCCATACGGTCGTTTACCGGTTTCCACTCAATCAAAGCGGAATGGGCTTTGTCAGACATGATAATCGCTGCACCATTCCGCCCCGAGTTATCCGAAGCGACTGATGTAGCCAGTACTTCTATCTCGAGCCAGGATTAATAATCAAGACCAGAAATAAGGAAGATGGATCTCCGATAAGCAAGAGATATCCAACGACATTTAGAAAGGATGTGGACAGTGATCGCTTGGCTTGCAACGTCCATAAGCGTTCTGAAGTTGATACGGCTAATACCGTGCCGCGCGTGGAGAGTGCTGTTCCCCTTGATAGGTTTCGATCAATTATCCTGGCTTGAGAACATATTTTATTACCAGCCTTGGCATCACTTTAAGTCCGGATTGTATATTTATCGCATGTACCACAGGGCTGTGAATATCATGCGCGTCGGGAGATGCCGTATCGAGTGTATCTGACCCTTTCACCATAGAGTCACTTGGGGATAGAGTTACAGGTGGGTCCCCAGCAGCCAAGAGATCGCTTTACAACGGATTAAATATCATCATAGAGAAATGTAGAATACTGGAATAGGATAGGCCTACTGATACAAATTTCAACGCTCGTAATTAAATGGTTACATTATTAATTTACTTCTACAAATAATCAGAAGTATTTTGATTATTTTTGGTAATAAATAAAAATAAATTTAAGATTTGTCACAAAGCCATCGATGTTCTTGTTGAATGTGAAACATTGGAATACGTACATGATGAAAAAGGAATGGCCGTTATTGGAGATATTCATGGCTGCTTCGCCGACCTAATGAATGCTATCAATTTTTCTGGTTGGCCTGAAAGGACTCTTATTTTTCTCGGTATTCTTACAAACTGCATAAAATGCATCAATTTTATAAAACATTGCTGCCAGTGGTTCAGTTCCACTTATCGTATTTTATATTCTAAATAATATTCTATAGTTTTCCAGGTGATTATATAGATCGAGGGAACGAAAATATAGAAGTAATCATGTTTTTGTTGCTTCTGAAGATCTATTATCAGAAAAAAATGATAATACTTCGTGGAAACCATGAAACAGTGGAAGAGAATTGCCAATTTAATTTGCCAGGCGATGCAAGTTTTGAATTATACATATTGTTGCATTTCGTAGCACATGATATATTTTAAATTCAATTTTTCAAATTTTTTATATTAAATTTTCAAAATCTTAATATTAAGCATTTTGTCTCATAACTGTCTGCCAATACCGACCATGTTGGCCATGTTTCACAGCCATACAACATCTAAGTTCTAAGTTCATGCTTTTGCTTTGATTGTGATTTCGCGATATACAAGATTGCATTCTTAGCTGCAGCTGCCAAAGCTAGAACTTTGCCTTTTGTACGGCCACATGATGCTAGAGTAGGTTTAAAATCCATATATCACGGCTGCGATAATTTCCAAATTATTGTTCATTTCTTCCAGCTGAGGAAAAATTATGGAAAAGATGCACGAATGCTTTACTATAATCTGAATAGAGTTTTTGATTATTTGCCGCTAGCTGCCATACTCTCAGGTAAAGCATGTAATAATTGGAATTTCGATGGTATTTATAGTAAATTAGAAAAAAAATCCTGCATGAATTTTATAATATATAGCTACGATTGGGCCTCTTCTTCTAAAACCACCCACATTCATATATGAGGTTTGATAATGAGCCAAGTTACTGATCATCCTGATTATCCTTTGAGACTTTCACATTTTTGACTAAGGCCCACAGTAAATGCTTGCTAAGACCTAAGAGGGATGTAGTGAACGTTCAATAAATGATAATTTAAATTTTTAAGGAAATAATTATCGGAAGGTTTCTAAAAATGATACTTCTTGAAAAATATTAAAACAAGAAAAACCAAAATTTTGGGTTGACTTTTTTTTCAGCATCACATAGGTTATATTTAATTATACAGGTTATTGAAGATTTAATATCTAAATACGAATATCTCACAGTCATAAATAAGACTATTTAGATCAAATTTACTGTTGTCACGGTGGGATATCACTCTACAAATTCATTCGTAACGATATTTCGCATATTTCTCGTCCAACTAGCTGGTTAAACACAGAAATAAATATGATTGATTCGCTGATTATAACAGATATTTTATGGTCAGATCCTGCTGAAACTCAACAGAAGTATCATTTAAATAAGAAAGCTGTTTTCTGAACGCATACTTTATCATTATGCATTGTAAGAGAATATAAAAAGCAAGAAACTTATAGAATCTGAGACTTAGAGGATTTTCTATTTTTTTCTTCTTTCATTTCTTCTAAATTTCCTCTTCTAACATTCATACTGGTTAGGCTTGCATTAACAGCAACAAGAGCAAGGCTTTCCAAGGCTCGATTATTTGAAAATTATAAATGTTCTTATCTGGACCCATACATTGCTGGATGACTTGAAAATTCAAAATTTCCCATGGCCGCTTTTATAAGTGTTGATTGAGTCATCCCTCAACAGCACTTGGTGAGATATGCATCAATCCATGCAATGGGTAGCAAAGAAAACGAAAAATGACTTTTCTAGTACGAATAACGATTTCTGACGACATTATTAATCTAAATGATAGCTAAGCTGAATGCATTTATGTAAGATTCTATCTTCTCGTAGACAAGTCAAGCGCTTTAATGTATGTAAGCAAAACAATGAGATAGCTTCTCGATAGAATCATCTCTCACTGGTTATATTTGTCAACCAAATAACACTATTTGATTTTAAATATGCGTTTACTTTCAAAACTTTTAAAAGATGCATTGATTATTCGAGGCAACCATTTGTACCATCTGATCGTGGTGTTTCATATTTCTTCAGTAAAGCAGCGCTAATCGCGCAGTTGCGCCACCTTAATTGTCGTGCCTTAATACGCGCTCATTGCCCATATGAAGTAGGTTTTATTGTAAGCATTAAAATTTAGCATATTATTCAACTTTTTCGTAAAATTTTCCACTGAATTCTCGTACAGGAAATTACAGGGATCCTAATTTTTTTGACTTAATTGACTTTTAAATCAATATTCTATTCCCCATTTTCTCTCATTTTACTTGCCGAAGAATTAAGAAATACTCCCTTATACTTCGCTTTAATTCAGAATCCAATAGGACTGAGTTATTATATTCCTCACTTCTGCTTAGCAAGCAACAATCTAGAGTGGTTTAACTCGAATGTTGGATGGATTCTGCTATACGGTTCATTCAACTAGAAACTATGGCAGCAATCGCAAATACCATTCTGCGATTCTTCTTCTCAATTTAAACCCAGTAACAGGTTTATTGTATGGCAAAGCTACCTATTATGACGCTGGAAAAGCAAATTTACAGCAGATTATCGCTGATATACGATGCGAAATTTTGAACGGAAGGTTTTTTTTCCCTAAAATTATGAATACGATATTTATATTTGGGTATATACTGTCTTTACGTCTTTACGAACAACTTCTGCAGTGCGTGTCGTTTCTCATTATTCTTATTCTAATAAATACAAAATAAAGTCGCATGAATCTATGGCATACTTGAAATTGTATCAAGTCACTAATTTGAAGCACAAATTTTACTGAATCGCCGATGTGTTTAAAATCTTTTGTGACCAAACAGATTCGTTTCGATTAGACCTGCTGGATTTTGGCATCAATTCCGACAGTGAGCTATGAAGAACGAGATTTGATTAGTGGAAACGCCTCTTTCTGGATATCGTTACTATACATAACTGATTAACTGATTTAAGTCTTGTTTTTTTCAGCCTTGTAACTGGTTTGTGCACTATCACGGTGCATATGCGAACTTTTACTTTTACTTTTATTTTAATGTTGATTTCTTAATATTTCTTAGTATTCTTATACGCAGAAGGCATTCATTATAGGGTGTTCGGAATTCAATCTATTGTTTGGACGTCCGCTAGAAAATTAGTTCCATTGAATTTATGACTGAAAATTGAATAAATAATTGAATTTATGAAAATTGAATGTAAACATTTGCCAGCCAGCGCATTCCACTAGAAAAAAAATGAAATGAGTTTCATATTGTTTGTTTTATTAACAGACAGGGTTTTTGCTGCATTTATCGAGAAAAAGTTTAGTATCTGATGCCTTCATAAGTGTTAGCTGGAGGAACCATAACCATATCACCACCACAAGAACCGTGACACTGCTCTCTTCTACTCCAGGGATTGGAGTTCATATTCCGATCAACTTTCACCAATTTTAAAAGACTATATAGGTTCTTTATTAGTGCAAAACTATTGCGTAAATACACCAAGCTAAAGCCATATAATAGAAATTCAATGTCGCAGATGGAAATATGAACTGTTTAGAGCTCAGTGACTGAAATTCATTTTGAAAATAATTGTTGACTTCAAATAAATAGATTTAATTAGATTTTATTTTACCTTTTCCCATACTGCATGCGTTTGTATCTCGTGAGAATTCTCGGCGAAGCCAGAACAGAACTTTTCATTAATATGGAATCCGCCATGAATATTATACGTTATTATACCATATTATAGGCGATTTTTGGCGAACCTATTTCTCTTAGCAAAGTATGTTGGAATTTGTTAAGACCATTAATGAACATTGGAGATTTCAGTCACAGTTTAATTGGTCTTTAACAGCCTTCATATGGTCAAATTTGATCGAAGTATTTCAAAAATCATTTCTTCCTGGGCCAACACCTGCGGGATAAAAAATAAGGAATTTTGAATAAATGGACAAATGGATAATTATATAATTTATATATAAATAATTTTTTGCACTTAATTTGTGAAGATGCATCAATAGTTTAGGAAAGCACAAAGGAAAGAATTTGCGAAATTCGCAAATAATGCGAAACACTTATCCATTGGTTGCACTCAATGTTCATTATGGCAAAGTGGTAGCATAACGGTAGAAGAAATGGTCTGGGATCGCTGCCTTTCTCACGAACATCTAATTGATATTATATATGTTAGCAATATTAACATTTCTTGAAAAAGCAATCCAAAATATGGTTTCCTTCTGCAACATATTTCCCTTATTAAATAATACCATAGCTCTTGGAATATGCAATTTTGAAAAAAAGAAAGGCGAATGAAGTGAAATACTGTGAGTTACTTGTAATACTGGAATGAATATCTAGGCAGTGTGAATATAAGTTGAAAGGTGAGGGAAGAATACGATGATGAAGGATAAATGGTTGAGAATTTATGGACCAATGCGGACAAAGAGGATGAAAAGGATAGGAAAAAAATTTTAAACGTTATTCGTACTAACTAAGCAATCGTGGTTCTTTATTAAAATCTGAAAATAGAAATTGATTTTTCCATAAAAATATTCTGTAATAAAAAAAAAAGTTAAACGCAATCAAATACTATTTTACCGAAAAACTTTCAGAAATTTAAAAATTTAAATGAAAATACCCGAAGAATTGCAAAAATATTGGAAGGAAATGAGAACGATTTAAACATTGCTGCCAAACTTTTTCCGCTTGTTCTAAAGGAACTACTGGCCAAAGAAAATCTACGTAAACTTCTTTTTTTGACCCGTATGAAGAAGTTTAAAAATTTATTATATCCTGTTCAGTTATTCTCGAATAAATAAAACTGAATTAGATTTTCCATCGGTTGTTTTTTAGATGTTATCGGCAAACGAAATTCCAATGAAAATTCATGTCAACAAAAGAAAATGCAGCATCGGCGATGCAATGTCTTCAAAACGAAAATGCCCAAAAAAGAAGAATTTTGGCCAAAATTGATAATCGCCGGAATCATGGATGAATAAAGCCTACAAAAAATAGGACTAAAAGTTTTTGCTTGCATAAATGTTTTTTTTATTTTTAAGTTGCTTTATTCTTTTTTCTATTTTCCTTTTTAATGATTTTATAGTACTACTCACGTTTCCATAGTAATCATCTAATCATTATTAATTCGAATTTTAAATTTTTGAATTTAAAAATATTTAGTTAAGTTCATAACAGAATTAAACTCATTGCCATTAATAAAGATACTCTCATTCTTAGAGAATTAATCCTGAAAAATCCCGAAAAGTTTTTTTCATTAAACTCAATTCATTAAATTAGAAAAAGTGTTTGAAAGGAGTGACTTATGTACTCGTCGATGGTTTCACGAATTGACGAATTTAGCATTTACAACCAATTGAAATTCATATTACTATCTAAATAATAATACGAAGAAAACGACGTGCGAAACAATATATATAAACTAAATTAAAATTTAGAGAGAAAAAAGAGAGTAATGCGATTTTGATTGCCACTGTACTTAAAAACAAATATTGAATACTAACTACGAATAAATCAACAGATGAAAAAATGACCCTAAAATATGACAAAATCGCGCAAATATTGAATACTAACTACGAATAAATCAACAGATGAAAAAATGACCCTAAAATATGACAAAAATGGAGCAAAGTAATGAAAAATTGACCTGAGCAAACAATAAATTAACCGAACGAAGAAATGAGAACTGAGCAAACGATAAAAACTTTAATTTATAATTTTATGATACTTATCTTATGATAAAATTATTTTTGAATAATTTTATAATACATTTCGGAATTTCCGACAATCGTCTCTTTTAAATTCTCCGCGAAATTATCTTATGCAATATAGTAATAAAATGAAATGAGGATTTGTAGAGAATCAGTAGTATAAAGATGGATATAAAATGAATATTATTTGCGGGAGAATTTCTTTGATGATACGATGAAGCAAAGCTGTAAAAACGAAATATGTTGGTTTATAAATGTTCTTAATGTCAAGGATTCGCACTTTTCTGAAACTAGATTGTCATCATTTTTTTAAAACGATTTTTAGAATTTACTCAGATATTAACTCGAAAATATCGAACTATATCGAATATCGAAACTATTACTTATCACAATCATAAGGAATTATAAAAAATATTTGATGCGAATCTTACGGAAAAAATGAAAAAATTTTTGGGTAGTAATTGAGTAATGCACGCAGTTAATATTAGTTTAATATTAGCTTTTACCAGCGAATTAAGATTATCAGTATTTATAGAAGTTGAGGACCCAAAGCTTTTATTCGTATAAATCCTATAAATTAGTGGAACAAATTGCCTAAAAATATTATGCTTCATCGGTTTCGCTATTTTAAAAAATGTTAAATCAAATAATAGGCAATATTATTTAATGGCTTTTATAATTTCAGTCCATCGTTCTGAATAAACAGTTATTGCTATGGAAATATTCTGAACATTTATGAGTGAAATGAGATTGAAAGAACCAATAACTCATAATAAAATTTTGGAAAAATTCACAGAACATTGTAATAATATAAAGAATTTATGTCTTCTCGAATTTCCATAATTTTTTTGCGCAGCTTTTCGTTTTTCTTCAGTTTTTCTTCGTGATTTTCCCCTTTTGTATTCTTTAGCGACATCATATAGCGTTTTGTCCTGTCTTGGCCCAGCGCCTTTAGAATAGCATCCAAATATATGCAGAAGACGTCATCCCAAATTCGGCATTGAACCGTTCGCAGGCAGCAAATATGCCAAATTATTGAAAAATTGCAGTGATCTAATCGCTAAGATACTTCTGGAAGGGCAAATGAAATAGGCAGTTCTAAATATAAAGATAGGTATATTTCGAACTAAAAGCTTTGCCGAGAGAAATCGGCGGAATGCATGGTAGAATGCAATGTTCTGAAATAATAAACCTGTCGGCAAAGGCTACCAAAGCCCTTACAACAGGAGACCTCAACTATTAGATGCTTCGAAACTGTGCAACAATAGTAACGTTGCTGGCCAAAAAATTTATTCCGACAGCTGGACCGCTTCATAGAAAATCCAAGTTGGCAGTACCTGTAGCAACTTAAATTAGAGTGGATTTAGTCGATTCAGAAGGAAATCATCAGGAAATTGAACTCGGTTGCGCCACTGATTAAAGTAATTTCAGTGTTTTTGATTTCAATGTTTTTCACAGCTGATTCTTGCTTCTGAATCTTGCAAATTATTATTATTAAGGTTAGCATTTTTTTTGCAGCACAATACCAGCTTCTAATGCACAACTTCTTCTAACTCTCATCATTTACTGGTTAGACTGGCTAAAAGAATAAGAGGTTTCTGCGCGATCTGATGTTCCTCGACAGTAACAGAATCACTCTTTTTCCCATCGTCTAAGTCCATACATTGCTGGTCCACCTGTACGTTCTTTTCTTACCGTATCGGTCCAAGTCTTGATTGGCCCACCTCGCTTTTGACGCCAACCATCACACGGTTTAGCAATTATCGAAACATGTACCAACTCTCGAGGCGACGATGAACATGCTCTAACCTCTGTGATGGTACTGTTAATGCATGTGGTATTTGAACGAAGATGGATGCGATAATGTCAGATTTTATTCACTCGACAAACCCGGAAAATTACCTTAGACATGAGGTCAAAAGCAGATAATTGCTTAATATCCCCCATTCTCATTGGTCATGTCTCGCAACCAAATAGCATGATCGAAAGAATCGCAGCTACATAGGCGCAGACCTTAGTTTTTATGGTGATCTCACGACGGCTCCATAAAGGATTCGTCAACCGGAAAACGTATTTATAGCCACCGGATTGCAATTTTGCCTTTTGCCAGAACATTTGGTATTAGAGTGGACCCAAGGCATTTGAAATCGGGTACTTCCTCAACCGGCAATGAACTTATAAATATATAGGCATTTTATTAGGTTCTTGTATATAAGACGAAAAGGCTTTCGTTTTATTTACACTAACCCTGAGCCGATTCTCTTTGCTGGCACATTATTTAGCATTAATTGCATTGTGTCATAATTGTCTGCATCATCAGCTTATTCTATGATACGATGCTCTGGACTGATCTGTATCTTCTTGAGCCGATAAGCGGTGTCCATTATCCAGCCTATCCCCTAGTTGAAAATTGTAGTGCTGACATATGCTGATAAAATATGCTGATAAAATACTTTATGAATTGAATTATCTTCTCTGGTACACCGTCCCGTTCCATCATCCTCCAAAGAACCGTTCTATCAATTGAATCGAAGGCAGCCGCAACGTCGATATTTGAAGCGATGTATCAGTGGTCTTCTTAACCTAAATATCTGGTCAACACAACCGCGTTCCAGTCTGAATCTAGCTTGATTAGGACGCATCCTGCTGTCGTGCTGCCATAAGTTTATTGAGTAAAAAGGAAAACAAAAATTTTCGTTGAAACGTCAAGTAGACTGATTCCTCGATATTTATCACAGTACATCCTATCACCTTCCTTAGAAATTGCGAGAAAAATCGCTTTGCTCCAGTTATCTAGCATTATTTCTTTTTTCCATACCAGTACTTTTGAGGGTAAGGTATAAACGATAATGGACAACATTCGAAGAATTCGGCCCGAAGACTATCTTTTCCGGGAGTTTTATTGGCTTTAAGCTTACAAAGGTTATTTCCTCTTCTGTTGGCAGTTCGCAGTTGGAAATAAATGGCTCGACGGGCGAATCAGTTATATCTGGGACAACAGATGGCGCGTCGTGGTTAAGTTTGGAAGCTTGGCCTCAAAAAAATCTTTCCATCTTCTGAGGCATTCCTTAATAGCTTTAATAGGCTACCCATTAATATTCCGTATCATTTCACTTCTTCTTCAGTTATAATTATTTTGTGAAGGCAAACAGTTTCCTATTATCACTTATGCGAGCCGCCCTCTCCATTCTCAAGGCTATCGCTCCAATAGCTATTTCCCTCTGTATTATTGTCATTGCAATTCTTCGAAGCACCTAACTGTCAGAATCTCCTGACATGCTTTGGCAGCTTTTTAAGACAATTTTCTTTCGATACCCAACTAACGCACTTCCTAATAGTACCTTACTGTGGAAGTGGCTGACTTTTGCAAGCATATCTTTATTTGGGACCAGAATTCATTCACTATTTCAGAAATGCCATTGACATTCATTTCATTGAGATGTTTCGATAATACGATTGAACTACGTTTACGTTTATTGTTTCCGGACTTAATTTGAGATAGTTGAAAGATTTCGGGATACGTTGTTTCTTACGACTTATCGATCAGAATCTTGGCTCGAAGCATGGTCTGATCCATAGTGGTTACCAGTTTCAGCGCTCCGATAAGAATGATTATCAAGTGCAGAACTCTTCCAGCGGTGAATGACTTCTTCTTCTTCTAACAGCTATCACCATTACTGGTTAGGCTGGCTCCAATGTCTACAAGGATAAGATGCTTCCAAGCGGTGTGGTCTGATGCCATCGTCGACAGTGATGGAAGCCATTCCTTTTTCCATCTTCTAAGTCCATATATTGCTGGTCCACCTATACGTTCAAAATCTTTTCTTACCTTATCAATTCAGGTCTTGATTGGCCCATCTCGCTTTTGACGCCAACCATCACATGGTTTAGCAAATAACGAAATATCCGTCAACTCCTGTGGTGGACGACGAAGAATGTGCCCTAACCAGCGAAGGCAGCATTCTGTATTAACATTATTTATGCAAGTGGTATTTGAACGAAGATGGATGAGATCTTGTGATATTTTATCCGCTCGACGGATCCGTAATATGTACCTTAGACAAGACTGGTCAAAGATAGATAACTTCTTAATATCCTCCACTCTCATTGGCCATGTATCAGAGCCATATAGCAAGATCGAACGAATCACGGCAACATAATGCGGACTTTCGTTTTTATGGTGATTTCACGACGATTCCATAAAGGTTTCGTCAACCCTGAGAATGCATTTCTAGCTGCCGTGATCCGAGTTTTAATATCATCTTTTGCCTGTCCATTTGGTATTAGGGTGGACCCAAGGTATTTGAAGCGGTGACTGACTAATATATAGTCAATCTGATTGGAATCCTATTTGTTCTCCGTTGAGTTCCACGTGGCTAGATTTTTTCTTCAATGCCAAAAGCATATATTAGTAACAGAGTTCATGCTGTTCGACAAAACAAAAATGCGTTCCTCACTGGCGCTGAACCTCGATGCTATATTTGCCAATTCACCGTAACGGCATTAAGACCTACGCGCGTATTCCAGTCTCCACCGATTATGACCATATCACCTCTCGGTAAAGATATTGTTAATAGTTGAAGCTCCGCATAGAACTTGTCCTTATCGCGGTCATCTGCGCATAAAGTTGAAACATATATACTGATGACCGAAATATTGTAGAACTCACCTTTGAAACACGCGTAGGCCATATGGTCATTTACTGGCTTCCATTCAATCAGAGCGGATCAAGCCTTTTCAGATATGACAATCGTTGCGCCATTTCGCCCCGAGTTATCCGAGACATCACAGTGATATAGCCAATATTTTTGCTCGGAACCAGATTTAAATTACTCGAGATGACATGAGGAAGAATGAGACGGACTTCCGACCAAGCTATATCCACGCGTTATTTAGAAAGGGTGTGGACAGTGATTGTTTGGTTTGCAAAATCCATTAGTGTTCCAAGAAGCTATAGCCAGCATCTCGCCGCGCTTATAAAGTGTGACGGATAGGTTCTCGCCTTCCTTGACGGTTTTGAGTACATATGCTATGTACATATCTCGGTTCTATGCTTGTGTCTTGGGATTATCATTACATCGGATCGTATATTTATCGCATGTACCCTCGGATCAGAAGAATCACGCATGTCGGAAGACGTGGACATCGTGTCAAAGAGACTTGACCCCTCCACAACACTTGGGGATAGAAATACAGATGGGTCAGCAGCCACCAAATTTATGACACCATGGCATGTTTATTCCTGTCAAAGAAAACGTAGAGATGGAGCCATTTAATCGAGAATAACTAACAGTTATGGACTACAATAAGACGCTTGTGAAAAAAAATACCAATTTTAATAATATTCAAATGGAAGGGCACTGAAAAAAAGACCTATGGAGGAATAAGTGGAATGCATATAAGTAAATGCTTGCAGTGGAAAGGGAAGAATGACCAATGAAGATTGTTATCAATGAAGCAACGAGAGAATTTCGATTGTAAACGTAATGATCAAAACCGATTTTGAATTATATAAGATTTGACGGCGGAAAAAGGATTGGATTGGATGCTTTAATTAACCGAAAATATATCGGGTCGCGAGGCTTGAAAATAGCATCAGCCAGGCTGTCGTAGAAATGTTGCAAGGAAACTGGCCACAGACGTTCAGTTTAAAATATAGCACTTTCCTCTCTCAGATTAATGTTCAATACTTTTTGCACCAAATTCAATCGGAAATTAAAACTATTAAAAACGATTATGTGCGTATTGAACTTCATACATGGACCGCTAAATAAATCATAACGGCCGTGGCCTTCATTCTATTGAAAACGCTGGAAGGAGATGCGGTATTTGCTCTTTTCAGATGTTTATTGCTCGGATAGTAGATTTTCCTGGATTTGCTTTTTGTTGTCTTGTCTTGTTGTACTGTAAGGTTTGAGGTTTAATTAATCGTTCCTAAAAATTTCCGAAAATTCCTGGAAATTTGCAATGTCTGCGATTCCTCTTATGCTTGAATTAATTTCTGTTTTTATTTTAACATTATTTTTATTAAATAAATATGGAAATTGGAAAAAGCAGCATTTTTTTGTGACTTTATCAACATTTATTGGATGGTTCTTCTCATTTTTAATTATTTTTGTGCTGCCTGTTGACATTGCTATTGTAAGTATTTGCTTTTTTTCAGTGCTTATTTATGATGCGCGGGCTCATTAGGCATCCACCTTGAGTTTGCACATCTCAGTTCTCAAATTTTCATTTTTCTGTTATATTTGCATTATTATTGGCCAGTTTAGAAAAAGCTAATATTTTTCATATTTTGCTTTCCTTAGGTAACCAAAATTTTTTCAAAATTTGTAATTTTTTTTATTACAAATTACAAATTACAAAATTACAAATTTTGAAAAAATTTCCATCATTACACCTTATTCATAATTTAGACATTTTACAATCGCTGCATTCTTGAAGAAGAACGGCCAGCAAATATCGAAGGAAGGAATATCACTTTAGATTGCCAGAAACCTGGTGGTTACGTGCCAAACCATATATTACTTAATATGTGGCGTATTGTCTATTGGACCGCTCAATGTCTTACATGGTTAATTTTTATAATATTGAGAGTAAGTAGTATGGATTGGGCTCTGGTCTCCTGGTTTGAGTAAACTTGTCATTAAAAATGAAATCCAGATGGTGTTGGACGTTCGCATATTCTGTACCTCCACTCCGGCTCCTACCAGCCGAATATTAATAAATAAATGCAAAAGAAGTTTTCATATATTATTATTATTAGTATACCACAGTTGGGGGGACAGAATGGCTCAGTGGGTTGTTGCTCGATTGAGAGCGCCAATGCTGAGATTCGATCCCACGCAGGAGTAAACCTGTACAAAAGTCCGGGTCATGCTGGTGACTCAGTTGTATTCCTATAGCCCAAGGGACTCATGGCATATTGCCCAGTGTGGCAAACCAGTGGAGCGAGTTTAACCAGATATGGTGAGGACTCATAAAAAAAATACCACAGTTATGAATAATTTTGCGCTTATCCTGTTTTTTTACTTTGTTATTATCTTATTGTCTTATATTATCTTTTGTTTTCTCATTTTGGTTTCAAAAAGCTAATGATAAATAAAGGGAATGATGGTAGAAAAAAAATCTTGAAAAATATCCTAAGGGAAATGTGCCAGTTCATTCTGTTTTGATTTTGTGAACTAATACTAATTTTTAAGGATTGTTTTACCATTAATGCAAAGTTACTCAAATGCCGGTGATTTTACATCATTTGGGAAACTGCGATCAGCAGCTTACAGCAATATAATTTATTATGGGACATACACTGTTGTTTTTCTTTTTTTAGTAATATATGCTGTTCTAAAGGGGATTGCTTTAAATGCGTTAGTTGTTTGCTTTAATTAATGCTTTATGAATTAATTTTATTTTTAGATAATTTTCTCCGAAAATTAAATTTTTTTCTAAAAATTAAAATTACTGAAGAAAATCTAATTCGCTGTGACAAATATCTGGTGAAATCACTCTTTTTTGCATTCAGTAATATATCATCGATTAATATATTTGTTTAAAGTTGGAAAAAAAATGAACTTGGTTTTTAACGCCTTCCTAATAGAGGCTAAAACATAAAAAAACTCATGATTTTTTTGTAGTGAACATCTAAAAGTTATTTTAATTTCTGCTTCGAATACATGGGGCTTATTATTATTGGTGATTCTTCTTGGATTTGGTCTTATTGAGGTACCTCGTCAACTTTGGCAAATGGGTAGTAAAGGTTTTTTTTAAAATAACTTTAAAATAAGTTCTCTTCATTATTAATGTGAAAATTATGGGTTAAATAAAGAAAAATATTGTTGGTATATAATTTTGTTTTTTCCAGGTTATAGATTAAATAAAACTTATTTCGATATAGACAAACTATCCACGGATAAAAGTGATGCCGACGATACTTTGAAAGAAGTCTATAGGTAAGTCCGTATGTTAAATTAATGGATTGCCAAATCAATCCATTTCTTAATTTCATCCGATTTTTTTTTCGGAACATCGTTTATGATTCTTTGTTCAAAATTTATTGCTGTCTGATAAAAGTTAAGCGGTTTGATAAAAAGTTGCTGGTATTTTGAATATTTTTGCAGTCATTATGAACTTCTCATTTTATTTCAGAGAGGCCCGCAGTGTACTAAGTGTATTGCAACATAAACACGGGTTACGTGAATATGCTCAAATAATAGTCGCTAAATTTCCTCCAGAACTGGTTGCTTTATTAGCTGCTCCAACCATGGGTAGTTTTTCTGCTGCGTCTTGTATAATTCCGAATGAAGAAAATCTAGTTCGCAATGACAAATATCTGGTGAGATCACATCACATTACATTTTTTTCCTTGCAGTACCATATCATAGATAATATAATATATTATAATATTAAAATTATAATGTTTAAAATTGAAAATAATGGCAAAAAAAGGTTTCAGTGATAGGTTTTCTTTTAACATGACCTAAGTTTCTTTGTTTTTAATAATTTTGCAAAAAATTTATTAGTTTTTATCATTCGTTTACATAGATTCGTTTACATAAACGTGCAATAACTGCTATCCAAAATCATTATCGAATTCAAGCACAGTGGAATGATCTAATTGAGCGTGCATTGTATTTAGAAGACGTTTATCAAGCTGAAATTACTGGGATTTTCATCAGGTTTGAATGATATATATATATAAATTTACCTGGTAAGAACTCTATGTTGAGGATGATTTATATCACCCAAAAGTGGTGATAAAGGGTATTTAAAAATCATGTTAGTGAAAAGAATAAATAACATTTGTTATTTATTCTTTAATATAGAATTTCTTTATTAATTATTACACATTTTAGGCATTCTTCATATACAAGTGAATACTTTATGTGCCCACAACAGTTGGAATATCTTTGGCACGTCAGATTGAAACATCCTTTTCTTCAAGTACTTTTCTTAGAGATATTTTTATAAATTTTTGTTTTTTTGAAAAATTTTTATTATTTATAAAATTTTTAGGCATTGGGAGTTTTCTTTTTCGTAATGACAGTTTTTATCATGTGGAGTGAATGCACTTTTTTCATTATTCATCCAAGACTTTCGTTGGCTGCGAGAGTCGTTCATTCGGCTGCGCTTGGCTACCATTATTTTTATATACAAGTGATTTTAAATAGATGATGAAATATTTTCTTTGTTTTTCAGCCTTATTTGCAGCTAAAAATTTATAAGTTCCATTAGAATTAATTATTAATCTGTTCTGAATTTTTGGAACTTATGACTGTGGTGCTTTTTTGTGGTTTTAGCTTGCCTTTTGATTTATGCCATGCTATCTGCTGAATTTGGGTTCAAACGGGTTCTGTGATTAATGTTTACACATCATGATATGTTTTTTTGCTTTCAACATTTTCCACCTACACCGAATGATTACTGTAGTGAAATGGTTTTATGAATGAGTCTATTTTGGAGATCTAAGTACTCTTGCGTCACCTGTATCACCTGTTTCATTTTAATTTCATTTCCGTAAAGGGATAAGAGTTGGAAACTTATTGTTTTCCAGTCAGAATAGTATTCCAATCGACATTTTTTTTATGTCTTTTAATTATGGAAAAAATCATAATTGAAACAGATATAATAGAAAAATAGGTGAAATGGATCACCGCAATAATTGATAGATCTATGAGACCTACATTCAAAATCTCATTGATTTAACTGTAGTTTCTTTTGTAGTAAAATATTTAATCTATGTTTTTTCAGTTTTATGCATTCCTAACTATTTCTTATCTCTGTATTTGCGCTTATTATACAGTTTTCAAATTACGTATTTATCGTTATTATCATTTGGATCCACATCACATGACTGATGAAAATAGCCTTTTATTCAGCGCTATGTCGGTTTTTTCTCTGAAAATCTTTTTGTTTTACACTTTTTAAAATTTCTTATAATCAAAAGAATCAATAAAAATCAAAAGATCTACATAAAATTTTTCAGTTTATTATGTCGATTAACACCACCTATTTGTTTAAATATGCTGGGTATGATTCATCTTGACTCACATGTTACATCTGACAATAATTTCAGAGTGGAGACACAATTTACTAAAGTAATATCATATTTGATTAATATTCGTTTCGATCTTTCTTATTTATTGATAAGTTATGAATGGTTGGTTATATTTATAAAAAATAAATATATCTAAGATATCTAACTCCAATGAACAAAGTAATTTGATTTGATTTTTTTTATATCATTCATGATCATCAAATTCTTAGTTAATGGGCCATTTGGACGTCATTCCCATATTGGCGAGAGGCATCAACATATATCTACCGATTCTTATTGTATTACTCTGTCTTGGAACATGGTTTCGGTTTGTCACTCGCTTTATTTTTGAAGTATAGAGATATTTATTCAACAATATCTTTTAAGGATACCGTTATGCTATGTTGCATGGTTAATTCTTTTATTAAATTTCGTCATCATTGAAGTTTTTTTCAGTCTTGGAACTCGTTTTTTGCATTTTTTGGGAATCGAACAGTTTGTTGGTAACGATGAGTTCACCACTGAACTAATTCTGAGCGGTAAAGCTCTTGTTACTCTTGGTATTATTATTTTTATTATTTATTATTATTGTTTTCATTACTTATTATTATGTACCTAATTTGAATCCTGTTGATTATGAAATTCAGTGCTAAAATCCTTTAATTGGTGCGATTGCAATCGATTTTAAAAAATATCATAAAATTTCGTTTAACCACAGGATTGTCATATTTTTAGAGAGAAATAGATTGATGCGCGTAGTAGGTCGTGAACAGAGAGATCAGTTTTGGGCAGGAAAATTCCTTGATAGAAGGACAGAATTTTTTGATAAAAGTGGTTCGTTTCGCGAATGGTCTTTCTTATATTTCTTTGATCTGTTATGGTTGGCATCAGGTAGAATTTCATTCCCATAGCATTAATGTAATAAAATATGGAATATGGATTACCTGAAGCTCATCCTTCTCCAAATATGTTTGATGATCTTTAATATTTAATATATTTCAATAATGTTTTGTCGGGTCGGATTTTCAGTAGTTTTACAATGTTTATAATGAATGAGGCAAAAAATTGAAATTTAAAGGAGTAAAAGGAAATGAAACAGCCAAATTAAGCTAATTTTTACATTTTTTAGAATTTCTTGCAACTTATTTCATGCCTGAGTTTTAGCAGTTCTGACCAACATGTTTAGATAATTTTGAAATAGCTTTTTAGATTTCCGAAACATGAGATTTGCTGATATAATCAGAAATAGTCCTCAGTTTCCTGAAGTAAGAGAATATAGCGATCGGGAACCAATTATGGCTGCTGATGATGTTGAAGAATACTCGAATTCCCATAGCATTAATGTGATAAAATATGGATTACCTGAAGCTCATCCTTCTCCAAATATGTTTGATGATCTTTAATATTTAATATATTACGATTTCCTTCAAATTTTACTTCATTCGTTTAGTTTAAAATTTTTTATTCGACATTCCAGTCTTTTTGAATAAAACTATTTCTTTCTTTTTTTCAAAGAAAAATAAGTTTTCTGGCTAAATTCGTTTATTTATCGGTTTCGGTTACTTCTTGTAGAGGGAAAGAAATGGTTATATGGACTTTTTTTAAAGTCTTTCTCTGTTGTTTTTTAAACCAAAATCTGGTTTATTGCGACAAAAAGCATGTGGACGAAATAGAAATTTATTCAATAAGTATTTATTTAAAATAGAAATTTAAATAGAAATTTTTCGGTTTAATCAAGTTAATTATATAATTATATAATTGGAATTAAAATTGAATTAAAACAGATTTTTAAATAGTAGTATGTAAATATATTGAAGGTATATATATATAATAGCAGTATGTAAATATATTAAATATATTGAAGTAATTTAGAAAGGATTCTTCTTTATTGAAATCTAAATACTGGAAATTTTTCAGCTATTCCGTTCAAAAATTTTAATTTAATTGTTTATTACTGAGAATAGTTTTTCCAACTCAAAATAAGTCCACTTTTTATTTTATTTTTGGTCGTCTTTTTTCGGTTATTTTCCATATTTGGAGTCAAACCTTCCTTTTTGCATCGTATTAAAAATTATTTGAATTTTTTATTTTAATTTGTTATATTTCTTTATCATATTTGTTAATATATCGAATCTTTTGTTTTCTCTATTTTAGGTGATTCTTTTTGTGTTTATGTTCATTTTTTTTTAAATATGCTACAAATTTTTTTCTTCACCTATGTGGGTGGACATCCTCAATCTTGAGTCCTCTGTCAGAGATTGAAAGTTCTGAGCAGTATTAGCTGTTCCTAGTAATGCGCTCTTCTGAATGGAGATCTCATTTTTTATTCCTGAAGTCTGCTAGAGCCACTTTTCTAGTTTAGGAGTCACAGTTCCAAGTGCTTCAGTTATCACTAGAATTACTTTCGACTTCACTTTCCATCTTCTCTAGTTCCTCTTTCAGCCCTTGAATTTCTCTAATTTATCATATTTCTTCTTCCTGACGATCATTTGCTATTGCTATATCTATCGCCGGTGCTAATTTATATTTGTATTTACAAATAAGATTTTGGTTTTTTATGTTAGCTTTTATCATTTATTTTTTTCTTTTCATTATTATACTTTTGAACGAATATTCAAAGGTTTCCTTTGTATCGCATTTAAATAAATGGTCTTTGTGTGATTTTTAAGAATAAGAAAGGTTTTGTTTTCTTCCCCAGGATTTATTTGAAAAATTTAAGATCGATTTCGCTGATGCGTGGTAATTGAAGGCTATTGACTTTTCAATTATTGGGAATTTCGAACTCTAATATCTCAATAGAAGTGTAGTTTTTTTGTTGTCCATATTTGCATATATCAGTCTATGTGTGCTTTCGGTAGTGTATTTGGCTTCTATATTGTGTACTTTTTTGCACACTGTGGTTCTGATAATTCCTTTTTTTTGTTCCTTAAAAACCTCGAAAATAAAACTTTAAAGATTGTCGTTCCAATTGCTGAATTAATGCAGTCTGCTAATACTGTTTTTACTATTTTTTTAAGTTATTAATTGGTGTTGTAAATTAGTTCACCAGTTATTAATTCTTTATAAAATATTAACACTACTAATCGTTAATGCTGGGATGGTCGAGTTGTAGGGTTATTGTCAGTCTCTTCTTTTTCTAACGACCTTTATCATTACTGGTTAGGCTAGCTCCGTTGGCTACAGGGGTAAGACGAGACTAGTTATTCAAACTATTCGGTCCGACGCTATCGTTGACAATAATAGAAACCATTCCTTTTTCCATGGTCTAAATCCATATATCGCTGATCCATCTATATATCTTTCCTGACTGTGTTAGTCCAGATTTTGAGTGGATTACCTCACTTTTAACAAATCCGTCACGTTTTTGCAGGTAACGAAGTACCTGTCAACTCCTGTGGGGGATGAAGAAAAGAATGCTTAAACCATTGATGACGACGTTCCATGGTAGTATTAAATGTAAGTGGTATTTAAGCGAGAGTGGATGCAATCATGTGAGATTTTATCCACTATGCAAACTCGTAAAATGTACCTTAAATATGAATGGTCAAAGGCAGATAACTTCTTAATATCCTCCACTGTTAGTGGCCAGGTCTGGCAGCCATATAGCAAGATCGAGTGAACCACGACTATACAGTTGCTGGCTTTCGTTTTTATAGTAATTTCGCGACAGCTCCATAAAGGTTTCGTCAATCGGAAGAGCTATCCAGGATGTAATTTCGTCTTGGCTATTTGGAATTAGAGTGGACCCAAGGTTTGAAATCTGGCTTTTCCTCAATCGGCAAAGAATTGATAAATAGTTTTTTTACCAGCTTGTAAACAAGATGAAAAGATTTTCATTATTTACACTAATCCTGAATCCGATTCTCAGTGTAGTTGTCGACACATTATTTAGCATTATTTATATATCATTATCATTATTTATTTAGCATTTCTTCATTTCTTCATAACTGTGATTTCTTCATAACTCAGCAAAATGGACTACATCGTCAGCATATTCAAGATCTGTGATGTTATACTCTGCAATAATTTGTAGATCTCTTGAATGCTAACATCTATTTCAATATCAATAATAATATCAATCTATGTATTATCCAGTCTATCGCATAGTTAAATATTGCGAGGGAAAGGGCGCATCTTTTACGGACGGTTCTTATTTTAAAAGGGTCTATTAGTTCTCCATATAAAACGCTGATTAAACGCATTTATAAGGCGAATGATCTCTGGAACATCGTCATCGTCATCACCATCCAAAGCGCTGTTTTATCAATTCAATCGAAGGCAGCTGCAGAATCGATAGAACATGATGGTAGGTTACTGATATTTAAGGCAGTGTTCCAGCACCCTTAGCGTGAATATCTGTCAGTGTTTTGCATTATTATCGGTTTTCTGTTAAAATTAAATTTGTCGCTAAAAAATCATGTTGATGCGAGTCGTCTATACTTTTATCTCTGATTATTTCTTTTAAAACGGTCATTTATGCCTAACTAGGAATGGTGAGCGCTAGTCACTTGCTTCTTGTTTTACTACTAATTATTTTGTTATTACGAAGTAAGCCAAAATGTATCAAATATTGCTGGTTATTGCCGATTGTGATTAAGTACTTTAATTATGTTTAATGCGTTTTAATATTTTTTATTTTTTTATTTTTCTTTAATTCATTTCTTTATTTTTATTTACTTTGTACTTGTGAAAAATTCTGCAAGTTATCATTAACAGTTATCAATTTTTTACAAATTCATCAATTATTATTACTTTTATTATTAATTTATTGAATATTAAATTTAAAATTATTAAAATTTTTCATCATTATGTTGCTGTTATTAAATATTGCTGATATTAATTAATAGTAAATATTGTTATTAATTATTATTATTTACTTAACATTAATTATTATTATAAAAAATTGTGTCCAAATAGCGGAAATTATATGAAGGATGATACTTTTGCTCCTAATATTGCAGCCAGGCTTCGCTTTGTAATATACTGCGAAGTATGTGAAACTAAAACTAACCAGTCGCACATTAACCTTTAGTAATTAAATCTCTTTAAGAAATTCGAAATTTAATACAAAGGCATCAAAGGGATTATTATATCATTAGAAAATTTAAAAACAAACAACTTTCACGAATTAAAAAAGATATATATATATATATATAAATTCCACGATTTAAAAAATAAAATATAAAAATCCTATATTTGATTGTTGAGACGTGGCCTTATGGGCCTTATCCATACCGCGATAACAAAAATTTGTTCAGTAGGCAGTTTCACAAACAGATAAACAATTGTTTATCAATTTTAAAGATAATCAATTCCCAGGTCATTTCTGACTTTGCGCTTTGTCGCCATCAGTATTGTTATTAATTATTATTATTTTATATACCATCAATTAGGCAAGGAAAAGGAACTGATCTCCGCCAAGTAGGGTGTGAACCATGCTATTTCATCTATAATCCAAATATCAACTGGGATAATTAATTGCTTTCTTTGACATCTGGGGGTAGTTAATTTAAATGATTAAAATAACCATTATTATTATTTATTTTTTGTTTTTTAATTTTTTTCCAGCGATTTTCCGCTTGCTTCAAACAAAATGAAATACTTCTAACTTGTTTCTCAAATATATTTTGCCATTGTATAACTGCTTGTTTAACTGCTTATTTTTCTTTTCATTTTTTTGTTTATTTTTCATTTTATCTTTATCTTCATTAATAATAATAGTAAGAAAAATATGAGCTAAGCCGAAGCGGTGATCTTTGAGAATAAGATTGTGTTATGGTTTGAGTTAGACAGAAATTGATAAGCTGTAGAAAACGGGGTCCCACCGAAAATCTTTTAATTATCACAAGCTAAAATGTTTGCGAATAGTAAGCATTTCATACGGAATTATCTCTTCGATGATGTAGATATCAGTGATAGTTGAAAGGCCTCTGACGACTGCTCCCAACTAAACGCATATTTCGAAAGTCGACCAAATTTACGCTAATAATCGGAAATGCACTATAATTGGGTAGAAACAGTAGTCAGATTGTCGGAAAAGATTGCCAGATTTATATATCAGGAAATCCTGAATATCGTAAAGTTTATAAAGGCAACAATAATGATACAATAATAACGAAGTTTAAATCATTATTCAAATGATATGGCTTTGAATATTTAGGTGGTTTCTCGAATAAGAAGCTTTTCCGCAAGCATAATTCGGAAACGGCCAATGAAATGATCCAAGACATTGATGATATGATCCATATGTTTTCGATTGTTGCCAAGAAAGAAATAATTGCAAGAATTCAAAAGTTTGGGGCCAATAAAACTTCCGGAGAAGATGATTTTCGAGTTTAAATCTTTGAATCCATTGTCCACATCTGGTCATCAGTGCTATCCAAATATTCACATTAGGGAGAATGCTGTCATTTTTTTAATTTTAGCGCTGCTTTCAATCAGTTGATAGAGCGGAGCTCTTTGAAGAGTGCTGAAATGCGATTGTATTTGAGAGAAAGTCCATTCAGTTCATAAACGCATTTCACCAGCATCGACAGCTTATGTGTATGGGGAGCTGACGGATATTTTCGAATTAAAAATTATTCATCAGGACTGATATTCTTTCCACCAGAATATTTAGTGTGACTGATCGGATTATGTGGACATTTGTTCTTAATAGATTCAGAATACGCTGGTGGCTAGTCATATTCGTTTAGTTTGCTGGAATGCTAGACAATATTGATGACTGCAGCAAAGTCGATCTCAAGATCAATGTAAATAAGACGAAAGTTTTTTTGTCTTATTTGTATAACGCTGGTATTTTTATCAGTAAAGGAAGTAAAGGAGGATTTTAAATGTCGGTTTTTGTGCCAAATGGTCAAATGAAAGACGAAAATTACATCCGGGATTAGAAATGCTTTCTTATCTGACAAAACTTCTTTGGAATCATTGCGAAGTCATCAAAAGAACTTTTGTGAATGATATTAAGGAGATCCCTTGTCCATTTCTAAGGCTCGTTTTGCGTGTTCGTCGGATGAAATCTCATAAAATTCCGTTCACCTTCGCTTAAATAATGTTTATAATAATATATGTATTGATATAATGTATGTATTCAAAAATATTGTCACAAAACGTCACCCACGCTGGTTAGGCCACGTTCTTCATCACCCATTGCAGAAATTGACACATATTTCGCTATTTCACCACGCTGCGATGGATATTGATATCAAAAGCGAGGATTAACCTGGAACGATGCATTCAAAAGAGATTTTCAACGTTTATGGGGCTAGCGATATATGGTTTAAGGCGATGGCATCGGATCGAATGGTTTGAGGGTTTCTTACCCGTAGAAGCAGTCTAATCAGTAATGGTGCCAGTTGTTAGGAGAAGAATTGTTATTTATGCTTATTATTATTTACATTTATTATCACTAATTATTGATGTAAATTGGCATATGTACATTTGTGCATTTTTCGGTTTTTTTTATTTATATTATATCCATTTACATTTGTTTGTCAATTATTTATTTATCCCGTTTTATTTTCAGTTGACTGCATCTCGATTTAGTTGACTGATGCTTACCGAATTGGCGTTTTATCCATCACTGGGCTATAACCTTCTTCGAAATTATTTACAACCGTCTTCATGGAAATGGTATACTCGAATTGATGATATTGTCATAATTGGTGCTTTACCATTTAAAAGTATGGTAGAAGAACTTGAGAAGGAGAATATCGGTGGTGTTGTCTGCTGTACGGAGGGTGAGAACGATTTTCTCATAGACGGTTTTTGCATTGTTTTTATTAAGGATCAATCTGACAAGAAAAAATTTGTATAAATTTGCAGATTGTTGTTGCACAAGCTAGTGTTATAAATTCTTATCGTGATTGGATATTTTGATTGAAAAATGAAATGCAAATTTTTCAAATTTCACCTAGCGGGACTTTTAATTTTGGAAGAAAATATTTGTAGAATTTGAGACAAATGCTGCTTGGGGTGCAATGAATGAAGAAGATTGGAAAAAACATGATGTCGAATTCTATGCTCTACCTATGCGGGATTTTAACGGTTCGGCTTCTAGGAATGACATAGACCACGCTGTAAAATTCGTTGATAACATTGGTAATCGCGGAAAATCTGTGTATGTTTTTTCTTTTCATTATTTTTATTTTCATGTGCCGTCATTTATATAGTTCTTACAACATACCCGCCGTTTCTGCTTTTCACTGAATGCTACAAATTCTTAGATTTTATTACCTGAGAGTCATCCGATAATAACTGGGTCCTATCTGTAAGTCATACCATCCGTCGAATTTCTCTTTAAATGCGTGCTGGTGAGGTATATCGAACATCTGATGTAACTTTTTCTGCTTTTTCTGTAATATAAAGTATAAATCAATACCACGCGATTGTTATGTTAAAATTCTTCGTTAGATCTGCAATAAATTGGCAAATCTTTCTAGCATTTCAGTTTTTATTATTTAGTTTACTGCTAAAAAAAATTTGATCCACTTTCAATCAATGCATTTTGTTCTTTTTCTTCCTTTCCTGCTATTTTGGCAATTGACAATTTTCAGATTTCAGTTTCTTTCTTTTATCTTTCTTTAAGTCCTTTCTTTCTTTATATGTAATAAATCTTCACCACTCAAGTTTTTTTAAAATTTTTTTCTTTTTTTAAGACCATCAACTCGTCAAAACAGTTGAGATTTTTTTTCCAGTTCTCTTCAATAGCTCGTTTTAAAAATTTTTCGAAAAACAATTTAACAATTTAATCTATTTAATATGAAAAGAGGAAATGTAAAATTCATTTCAACTTGCTGTGGCATGTTTATGTGTCAATTTTGAATTTTATTTTTTATATTTGTTTATAAATAACAGTGGGAGAATGGTGATTACAGCTAAGAAAAAGGATTAGATTATTTCATGCTAATATTTCAACTCTTTATTTATGAATTTTTTCCCAAAGTCCTTTATTTGGTGCAATAGTTATCAATAAGATTATATAAACTTCTTTTAAAATTGTGCAATGGCCAGATTATAACGTAATTTATTTCGCTTAACAATATGATTGAAGAAATTGTAATTTCTTAACGTAATTCTGCAGATAAGCTTTTTCAGGTTATTAGTTCATCTCAAGTCATAGTACTTTTTGGCAGGAGTAAACCTGTCCAAAACTCGGAGTGATGATGGCAATTCTGTATTTTTTTCGCTAGGGGACTCTCTGGCATATTTATCTTAGTGCGATAAGCCAGAGGAGCGAGTCTAACCAGTAATGGTGAGTGCTGTTAAAAAAAAAATAGTGCTTCATATAATCTAACATTGCCATAGAATTTTATTATCCCATCTCAGTCTAATGAGCTTAAGACAGGGATTTCCGACGAGAGTAATGTAGATCTCTGGGTGTCAATGGAATTTCAAAAGAGATCGATGGATTAGAGACTTTACGTTTTATAAATTTCAAATAATGTGAATAACATTATCATTTAGGGATTTTTTAACTTATTTGATTATTTTTTTTAATTTCTGATTTCTGAAATTTCCTCTGTAATAATCATCGAGGGAAAACTTTTTATATATTATATCCGCTATTCTGGAGTCATAAAAAACAAAATTATAAAAATAGAGCTTTTCGAGAGCTGCGAGTGTTTTATAATGTCTACTTTTTTCAATAAATCGCATGAAATAATGTGCGAAATCTTGTGAAATAACATAAAATGATATTTGTTGCTCAATTTGGAGCAGCCGAAGCTGTTGTTCGATTCCCCGCAGGAGTGAACCTGTGCAAAAATCCGAGTGATGCTGGCGACTCACCTGTATTTCTATTGCCATGGGGCTCCCTGGCATATTGATCAATTCTAAGGAGATTGGTTTGGGAAGAAAATTTTTTTATAGAAGATTGATGCGAGGCAAACGAAGTTCTTCAAGCTTATATAGTTTTAATTCTGCCTTATAATTATAAAAATGGTGCGACCAGCACTGAAACGGTGTACAAAGTATTAATATTTTTCTAATTCCTCAGTGAATTCATTCGATTTATTAAATTTAGTTGAATAACGGACTGTTTTGTGCTCTAACAGGTGGCGAATAAATGGTAATGAAATATTTTACTTGGTATTCTCGAAGATTTCATTAGTATTTAGCAGCTAAAATCGAAATATTTTCGATTGTGGTTTTTTGCCAAAATCTGAAATATTTTTACATATCCTATTCGACACTGTGCGGCATTTTTGACGTAATAAATACACAAATATTTGGATCAAAACAAAACTTTTTGATCTTATTCATTTAGTGTTTGTTCACGTAGCATATTATTCGATCATTCGCAATCTAACTTTATTATACATCGGTTAATCTTGTCACTTACTGCTACTCCAAATGTATTAGTTACTCTAATTATAATTAATAATTATAATTAATTATATTATATCTTTCGGAGTGTAGTGATTTTAGATGGGATGGATAGTTTTATCTTCTCGCCCGGAAGAAGGAAAACAATCGAAATTGCTCGCGCTATTTTATTTCTTTGAAATGGCGCTAACTTCGTAGATGTATTCGTTTTTTTGAAATGGTTTTCTATCGCCTTATATCTTATCTTCATTCAAAAATATTTCAGATATGTTCATTGTAAAGCTGGTCGCACAAGAAGTGCTCTATTAACAACATGTTATCTAATGCGAAAAAATGACTGGTTGCCGAATGTTGCTTTTGAATATTTAAAGTCGAAGCGGCCACATGTTTTACTAAAAGAAGCGCAGTGGCGAAGTGCGAATGAATATCGACGATTTCTGGATCATACGAAGCAAAAATCTTCAATATAGTTGCTCATATGAATGAAGATTTCTAGTTTTTTTATGTTAAAGAATTTCATAATTTGTTATATGTTGTTAGATGAAGATTTGAAAGATTTTTTATTCTTTTGATTTTTACAAAATGTTGTTCCCTTAATTTCTTCATTAATTTCAGCATGTTTCATAATATAATTATCACCTCGATAGAAAAAACTAATAGAGAAAATAGTTCAATTTTTTAAATTTTTTAAGCAATTTTTTTATCCGTATCTGCCAACATTTTTATTTCTATTGTTAAATTCTATTGTAATATTGTTAAATTTTTTGAGTTTTAATCAGTAGTAAATAAATTTTCTTTTTCTTTCTTTCGTGTAAATTTCATTGTGTGATTCGAAAAACTAATTTATGGGTTTACCAAAGTTTTTGAATTTTAGTTTATATAGTTCTTTAATATAGTTTTTTAAACCACTGGTTAATGTTGAATTCAGCTTTAGCGATGTACAAAAAGTCCAAATGGTTTCAAGTGCAAGAGGAACTAAGGGATCTAAAAGTAGCCTTTATCCCTGGATGATAGATAAATAAGTTTTGTTAAAAGTTTTCAAATCAGAGGAGATAATATTTTTGATATTATGATCATCTAATGAAAAATATAAGGTGCAGTCGAAAATAGCCCAGTAATAATTCTTTTTTTGTGACAAGCCATTTGATTTGACCAGAAAACAGAGTGATCGAGAAATATTGCTTGAAGAAATATTTCTTAAGCATTAAATATTCGATTTAACAATGAAGGTAACGTGAAATCCAGACGTCCACTATGGGTCCATGAGATTTATCTCCAAGTGAATTCTTGGCTTAACCATCAATAAAATCAACCAAGCTAGACGAATTCTGCTAAGTTGTCTTAAATCATTAATTATTAAATCATTAATGCTCATTTGATTGAAACTTAATTTTTTCATATTTGATGAAAATTCATTAAGGTTCTCTGATTAATTATTTTTTCAGTTGTTGGTCTACGTAAAATTTATTTCGACGGTCTCTTTGCTGTCGATCATGAGTAGCAAATAATTGGACAATATAATCTGCTAAAAACTATATGGGTTTATCTGAACCGTATTCGAGAAATAAAAGATAGAAAGATTTAAAAGTAAATTAAGCAGCCCTTAGAAATAGTGAGCATGGTTTTGCAAAACCCAGTTGAAATTTTGTTTTCTTCGGAGTCTTTAAAGAAGTTACTTCGAAGAAAATAATTCTAGTAATCAGACGAGTTAGCCAAATTAGAAATAGTAAGCGCTTTTAAAAAGAGAAGAAATCTACAATAGCTATCTGAAGTTGACAGGAGAAAATAGATCTAAATACGATAGTCTGAATTTTCTATCAACCGTTTCTTTTCTCCTTTCAGTTATTTTATACTGTAATGATTCCAATAATAGAAAGAGGATAGCTGATCGAGTTAAGATGCAGCAAGATTTTCGCTTTTATCCTCCTCCCGCCTTCTACCCCAATATAAAAAAACTTGAATTAAAAGAACTGCTGCTGGCGCCTATATTTTTCGCCATGCAACCTCGTAAAACTTCTAAACATGATAATTTCTAACAGCCAGCGGAGTTGGCATAATCAAAAATGTTTTAATCATTTAATCAAATTTTTCAATTCATTTAATCAAATTAATCATTTAATCAAATCAAGTTGAAAAATAGGTGTTTTGTCAGCTTCTCATTTGTAAGACGAAAATACTTTCATTAACATTGATTCTAAGTCCGATTGATTTTTGTTGCAGTTTTGGATGGAGCATTATTTACTTGTTTACTTGTATTTCATTATAACTGTCACCAAAAAGGACTACATCACCAGCGTATTCTAGATCTGTGATACTTTGGAATGATTTGTAGATCTCTTGAGTGATGACAGCTATATTATCCAGTCTATCGTATAATTGAATACTGTAGGAGGAAGGACACTAATTTTTGTTTCGCAAAGGAGTGTCACTTCCCATATATGCAGAATGATAAAATGCCTGTGTCAATGATAAAATGCTTTTAAGAGGCGAATTATCTTGTCTGGAATACCATCACACTCCATCACTCTTCAAAGCGTACATTGAAGGTTGATATGTTAACTGAAGTTGAGGCACTGAAGACATTAATTCAAAGTTGATTTGCTCAGTTTAATCGCTTACCTAAACCTGAAGAAGATGAAACATACTTTCTCTTTTTTAGTGAAACTCGTAGGTTCCGTTTCCTGGATTCAATTTCTATTGAGTTTAAGTTTTCCCACATTTCAAATTGCATCCATGTTATTGCAACATTGCAACCATTTCTTGATTTCGTTTTCGAACTCATCTGCTTTTTCATCGCTTCATCGATATATTCAAAATTGGAATAAATGAATTTGTTGCGCAACTTTTAGATTTTCGAAAAGATATTCATGATGTGAATAGCAGAAAGAGTTTGAGTATGAAACAAAAAAAAATTATTCAAGCGACTCAATAAATGCTGCTCCATTCCAGGTCCTTTTTTTCATTTTTATTTATTTTTATTTTTTCAATGCTTTTATTTCCCAGATCTTTTCTAGGTCGATCCGATCTATCATCTGGAATTCATTAAGTGGAGGGAAACAGGTGCACCACTTGATGATCAAAATTTGTTTTTGGACACATAGTGACTGATGACACTCGATCTTGCTTGAACATTGCGGATTCGCAGGTATTCATTCTGTACTTACATTGTGTTTTACTGAAATGGCATCGTCATTATCTGGCTTGTCTGGTTTTTTTATTTTATCTGTAATTCGTAATGCAATTCAAAATACTTTTATAATCTAACACTTTTTTTGGCAGCTATTGTTTTCTTTCATTTATTTTTTATTTCTTGTGTCTCATTAGGGCCTTCCTGACGAGGTTTCTTCTTGATGTATTTCCAACCATTTTTTATTATCTTTAACATTATAGATTCGTGTTCGATTTGATTTTTATTAAAAAATTCAGCTTATTAGAATTAGGCCAATACCGTAGGTTCTTTGTTTTCTTATCGAAAATCTGTACTTTTGCTTATTATAGTTAACTAACGAAATCCTTTTTGCAATCAACGCCAATACTCTTGAACTGGAACTGATTCATTCAACAGAATCCGCTATAAAGCATGTTCAATGCTCTTAAAAACAATTTACCGCTTATTTTCTATTTTATTATTTTGTTATATTTTATTTCATTATTCTGCGGAATTCTGAGGATAGAATGACGAAGCTTTAGAAAGAAACTTTAACATATTGATGATATTTTTGAACATACTTTAGAATTTGTGTTTATTCGTTCGTTCTTCGTTTTTCTCCTATCGTTTGCACTAGTTTTGACAGTGAATGGCTTCCAATTCCACCACTAATTCGAATTAGGGTAATATTTATTTTTTATTAATTTTTTCATTTCTTTTTTATGCTTATCTTTCTCTTCTGACCATTTAAGAAATTTTCGAAGCCAGTCAAAGCATTTGTAGAACGTAATCTTTTATTAGGAAATTTATCAAAAGATATTTTTTATTCTAAATTTAATTATTAAATTTAGTATTATTAACATTTTATTACTATTATTAATGTTTATATACATGTATAAATATTTAAGGGTTAAAAAAAATCCACTTTACAGGTGGTATGTGATTTTTTCACGTTTATCCGTTAACCAAGGTATTGTGAAAAGTAATGAATCTGAATGAATCTGAAAAAAATAGTTATTTTTCTACGATTTTTTCATGTTGTTTAGGAAATAATTACAATACTTTCGAAATGTGTGGTCTTCCAATGTTTTATTTTTTATTTTAGTTTAAAAGAAGAATGGTAACTGATTCCTTGATTTTATCGTTTTTATTTCCAATATTACCATCTTCTGATTTTGATTAGTTTCCTTGCCTGCGATCTCATAGCTAATGAAATATATTAATTTGAAATCATTTGTTTTTTTGTGGCTTTTTTCTGCCCATTTCCTTAAATATTCTTCCTTGCTACAAAAGCGGGACTCCTCCTTTAAAGTAAAAGAGTTTCCACTCCTTTAAAGTAAAAGAAGTTAGTTCTACCACCGATATATCGTTAATCTGGCTGTGGATTCAAAATCTTCTGGTCTTATCTACTCAACTCTTGATTTGTTGATTAAGACGATAAAATTTTTAAAAAATGTATTGATACAGCCGCTGGCGCAAAAAAACCGATTCTCAAAATCACTGCAGTGAAGAATGATTTGGAAAAAAATTGTCCGAGGAAATAATACTCAATAATACTCAAAGAGATGAAATGATATGTTTTTCATGAAAAAGTTTTTAGCGGAGAAAAGCGAATGATATTAATGATCTTACTCTTATCACTATTTATATCTTGCATCGATTGGTTTGCCTTGACACATTTAAATGTACGGCACTATGTTCAACGGGTGCACTTAACTATCGATTGTGTTTGTAGATTATTTATTTATGAATATATTTATTGCCTGAAGAGAAAATACAGCTGAAATTACACACGTAAATCCGGTTAATTTCAATTTTTCATTGATTGGTAAATTTTGATTCATTTGATTTCATTGTGCCAAATGTAACAAATGTAATGACTTTTTGAATATTTCTATTCCTACGAATTTTTTTATTTCAAACATTATTTTTTAAATTATTAAAGTTAATAAAATTATTTTTTAAATTGCTCAAATATTCATTTTAAATTAATCGAGTTTCAATAATTGTAGATGAATAAAGATAAACTTTTCCAGTGACTTGTTTTTTTGATTAGTAACGTGATAAAAGTAATAGATCCAATAAAAAATTGGTTCAAAAATTTCGGTTTCCGTATGAATTTGTTTAATTTAGCGAATGGTCTCTATCATCGCTCTTCTGACGGGCAAAAAAGCCATCACTACAAGTGAAATCCGAGTGAATGCGAAGTGCTTCCCATGTATTTCTATTTCTGACCCACAAATTTCCACAAATGATTTTTCATTTTGAACTTTACGATTTTGAAAAATTTGAAGATTCTTGTTGTAGATGATTTTTGTATTCATTGAGAAATTATTTTAAAGAGAAGTCAAGATTTACAGAATTAATACGGTGATAATTTCTTAAAAAAGAAATTCAGGCCATTTTTTAAAATTTATTATTTATTGTGTTTATTTAGGTATATTAGTTCTGTCTTTTTGCTTCTGATAATGGCCTATATTCCAAAAAATATCCTGATAACGGGTGGGTGCGGATTTATTGGTTCGAATTTCATCAATTATATCTTCCACAAATGGGATAAAACAAATTTTATAAATGTAGACAAACTAATCTTGAATTCGGATGCTCGATATATAAGTGATGATGTAATTTTCTCTGGTCGATATAAGTTGATTACTTGTGATATAAAAAACAGTATAATCATAAAACAAGCGTTGGTTGATAATCAGGTAACTTCATTTTCTGCTTTGAATCTGTCTCTAATCTACATTACCAGGATGATATATAGTATAGCCATGTTTTCATCGTTATTTGATTCACACGCTTTAAAAAACATTGGCTAGTTGAAATTTAGTTCGCGTTTTACTTTTTTGTAGCTTTTAGTTGAAAATATATGCTGGATGGTGTTTTACTGATAATTTTCATCGTTTTATGTTACTTATTTATTTGTTATTTTTTATTTTACTTTACCATAGATCGACACGATTATTCATTTTGCTGCTGACTGTACATCAACGAGATGCTATGAATTTCCGATCGAATCGCTTGAAAACAATACAATTTCGTTTATTAAATTTTTTGATGTTATTCGGTCTTATGGATTTGTCAGAAAATTCATTCACATTAGTACGGATGAGGTAGAGAATTGTCAGATAAATTTATTTATAGATGGTTTGGTACAGTGATATGTATAATATTTCAGGTTTACGGTGATTCAAATTTGGCTGCTGATGAAAAAGGTAAAATGGAAGATTCGGTATTATCGCCTGGAAATACTTATGCTGCTACCAAAGTATGATTTAAATCATTTTAAAAAATGTTGGCAAAATAGCAAATTATTGTTGTTTGAAGGCTTTCCTTTCTTTTTGAATTTGAATTTTTGAAGATAATTTTCATTTCAGGCTGCTTGTGAATCTTTTGCTCATTCATATCGTTTAAAATTTGGATTACCCATTATAATTCTTAGAATTAATAATATTTATGGGCCAAATCAGTGGGACGTTAAGGTTAAAAAATTCCTTCTTAAATTTTTAATTTGCCTCTTATCGCTTATTATTATTAAATGATCTTTGCATTAGTTAAATTTATTTTCTCGAAGAAAAATTTGGGCTTCTTCCGTTAGCATTAAATGTACTAATCTTTCGTAAAAAACTATTGTCCTTTGTGCGAAACCATTGCTTTCCAAATTCTCGGATATTTAAAGTTTAATGAGAATTATAACTCGATGTTTTCTCGAAAATATTTATTAATTATGGGATCCATTTTGGGACCATTAATCTTCTATTTTGTCCCCAGCTTTCATTAAATTCATTAAACTTCATTAAATTCATGAAATTCATATTTCTTATAGCTTAGTATTTTACAATGTTTCATAATTTGATATACTTACAGCTTGTACCAAGATATATTGAATTAGCAGTGAATAAGGAAAAATTCACAGTGCAAGGAACGGGAGAACAGCTTCGATCATGGTTATTTGTGGATGATGCATCTGAAGGAATACGAGTCACAGTTGAAAAAGGAGAAATAGGCGAAATCTATAATTTAGGAACTTATTTTGAGATGAACAGTAAGTGATGATATACCTTTTATGTTTTGGTATGTTCGGTATTTGAGTTCGTGCCTTTTCGTGACCATGAACTACAAGTAACTACTCTCAATCTACTATAACTCCTCATAAATTTTTTCATTTAAAAATGAGAAATAATTTATTGCATCTATTAGCTAGTTTTTTGAATAGGATAGCAGAATGTATAGTGGTTCAAATTCTAGTATTTAAAGACAAATGTTCCCATTCATAGTAGAATTGCGCCTATCATTAAAAAATTCGGAAAGCATATCTTTATTTTTATTGCCAAGTAACCATTTGGTAAAAATTTCTGAATTCTTGCTTCATTATTTTCACTTATTAAAAGTCAAATTATCAGAATATTCGAAGAACGAATGTAAGAACGAAAAATTCCAAATATATTTTTCCAAAATTATTTTCCTAACAGGTGTTAAATTTAAGTTTTGGATGTGGCTCGTAAAATCCAATCAGAAGTGGACAAACAACTAAAGCGCCAACCGGTCCACGTTGAATTTATCACTATTCCGGATCGACCATATAATGATTTGCGATATCTTTTGGATATAAATAAAGTAAATAAAGAGTTAGGATGGACTCCGAAAATTCCCTTTGATGAAGGTGCATTTTTCTTCGTAAAAATTTCTTTTTTTGATATATTAAAATAAAATATTTTTAAATCGTATATAGTTCAATCAGATTTTTCTGTTATTGTATATCAATTTCTAGGCATTCGGCGAATAGTTGAATCAACTTTGAAACCAAAACTTCATTCTCAGCGAATGAAAGTCATAATCTATGGGGGAAATGGGTGGATCGGGCAACAAATGCAAAAAATGCTCAGAGAGAGGAAAATTCCATTTCTACTCGCGAAAAGTAAATTAGGAGTTGTCTCCGATGCAGAGGTGTCATTCATCTTTCATCAATTAATACTATAGATTGTAAAAAATGTTTTGGCATAACAAAACTTAAGGTGTCGAAATTTACAATTATTTACCATTCACAGAATTGAAGCGTAGTCCCCCGATGCAAATTTTAAATTTTTCTCTATATTAATTTGTGAATAACTTTATTATAGTGGGTTTATTTATTAATGTCATTTTGTTTATTTCTTACCTTTTTAGGAAAAATATAGTTCAGGTAATTGATGAGCTAAATGAATTTTGTGGAACTCATGTATTGTGCTGCATCGGTAGAACGCATGGAGGGTCATATAAAACAATCGAGTACCTTGAAGGTGATCGTTATTCGTCGGTTTTTCATGTTTCAGTTGCTCTCCATTTTATTGATAGTAATTGGATTACAATGATATTTCTCAAAATTTTAAGGAGGTCCTGATAAAACTTATGAAAATGTTCGTGATAATCTGTATAGTGTTACAATACTAGCAGAAATTTGTTATAAATTGGGCCTTCATTATACTTATATTGGTACAGGATATTTATTCTCCTACGACAAGGATCATCCAATAGGTGGCGAAGGCTTCAAGGATAATGGTTGGTTTGGGCACTTTTTAAAAAATTTTCAAATTGTTTGCTATATATAATCTTTGATATTTTATGAATTTAAAAAATTTTAAAAATTTTGATGAATATTTTTTATGATGAATGTTTGAATGTTTGAACGCAAAGCTTCGTCAAAAATAAAATTTAATAAAAAAGAATTTTATCATTAATAATTTTTTTTTCTTCATCATTACTGGTTAGGCTGGTTTCGCTAGCTATTTTGGTAAAACCTAGCTGTTCGGTCCAATGCCATCGTCCATGTTAGCCATTATTTTTTCCATCGTCTAAGTCCATAAATCGCTGATCACCTTATAAGTTTAAAATCTTTCCTGACCATGTCAATTCACATCTCGATTGGCCCACCTCGCTTTTGACGCCACTTATCACAGAGGTTAGCAAGCAACGAAATGTATGTCAACTCTTGTAGTGGGTGAAGAAGAACGTGCTCTAACCAGCGAAGACGATGTTCTGTGATAATACTGTTAATACATGTGGTATTTGAACGAAGCGATGCGATCATGTAAGATTTTATCCACTCGGCGAACCCGTAAAATATACCTTAGTGGTCAAAGGCAGATAACTTCGCAATATTCTCCACTCTCATTGATCATCCATATAGTAAGATCGTGGGAACTGCAGCTATATAAATGCGGATTTTCGTTTTTATGGTGATTTCTCGACGGCTCTATAAAGAATTTCGTTAACAGAAAGAATGCATTAGCTACTGTTATCTGAATTGTAATTTTGCCTGGCCATTCGATACTAGAAAATATTCAAGGTGTTTAAAATCGGTTCTTTCCTTTACCAGCAATGAATTGATAAAAATAGGCATATTTTATCAGCTTCTTTTGTAAGATAATTGTAAGATAATTGTCAACAAAATAAGAAAATAAGAAAATATATCTTTCGTTTTATTTATTAACTTTGTTCCTAAGCCTATTTCTCGCTGCAATTATTTAGCATTATTTGCATTTCATTATAACAGTCAACAAAAAATACTATATCTCATTAGCGAGATTTGTGATATTATACTCTGGATCGATTCAAGCAATATCCACTCTATGGCATAATTGAATATTATAGGACGCAACCTTAACAGACACAATTTTTTATTTCGAAAGGGTCGGTCAGTTTTCCCATATACACAAATCTGTGCCAAGATATGCTAATAAAATACCTTTACGTCAAATGCTTTCCTCTGGAATGTCGTTGCATTCCATCCACGACGCGGCTTATCATGATTTATTTTTAATATATTTAATAATATGAGGGAAGGGAATAGGGGAAAATATTAAAGCGATCATAGCGTCATACATAAATTTCGATTTTGCATAATTTTGTTTTTTATTTTACTGACTATATATTCCTTACTTTACCCTGTAAAAAAACTGGTTTCAATTCAAGGAACAAGATTGATATTTCTAAATATTAAAATTGATATTCGCTAAAATAATTGAGTGACACATCGAATCAACGACTTTTTTTCTTGTCCCTTGACGAGCATAAGAACGAATAAAAAGTGAAATCCAGGTCAACACCGAGGCTTTTATAGCTTGTACATGAGATTTTAACAGACAAAAAACTTGCGAACTTGCGAACAACAACCAGAAATGGAATTAAATTGAAATTTCAGATTTACCGAATTTTTATGGGAATTCATATTCGGTGGTAAAAGGGTTCACAGATCAAATGATGAAACAATTTAATGGTGGTATTAGAGAAAATTTGAATGCTCGGATAACACTGCCATTAAATTTCGAATTAATTGATGAAAGGAACTTGCTAACAAAAATAATTGGCTATAAGTAATAAATTTTTCCAACAAAAAATGCACATATATCTATTTCATCAGAAATTTTTTAGAATCATATTAAATTGAAAGAAAACGTGCAAAAAATGGTTTCAGGCAAATTTTTGATATACCAGTGTCTATTACCATTCTTGACGATTGTATACCAGCGTTATTAAAGCTTATGGAGAAACGCTTTGGTGGTAATTTAAATCTCGTCAATCCTATTCCAATTAGCCTTCATGAGATTTTGCAGCTATATAAAAAGGTTATTTTTAGCAGCATTAATTATTCAATCATTCTCTGATTATTTTAAGGCAATTTTTTTTAAAAAAACCCTCACCATTATTGACTTGCTCCACTGGCTCGTCACACTGGACAAATATGCCAGAGAATCCCTTGGCGGAGTGGAGATGAGTCGTCAGCATCAACTGATGGACAGGATTACTTTTTGAACCTCAGCATCGGCATTCCCAATCAAGCAACAAACTGAGCCACTCTCCAAGGAAGCAAGGGCAAAATAATTTTCCAATCTAAACTATTAAAAAAAAATTCTCGATTTAAGAAATACATTTTAAAACTTATAAAAAATTTCTTTCAAAATTTCGTGACGAAAAACTATATTTTGAAATTTCATTTTTAGATCGTTGACCCAACTCTTCCCGACAGTGAAGTTTTTGATGCTTCTTCCGATAAAGGTAAGCATCTATTGAGCACAAAAGCGAATTGTACATTGGATACAACGCTTTTAAAAGAAATTTATCCGGGAATGCCAACCAGCATTGAAGGACTTCAAACTGGTTTCAAAAAATTAACTTTAATTGGAACTACTCTTTAAATTTTATAATATGTTATATATATATAAATATTTATATATAATAAAAATCGAATTTTCAAGCAAATTTAGCAGTCAATTTAAAATACTTGCCTGAAGAATTCTATTAACTTTTATCGTTATACAGATATGCAATATCTGATAAATTATTTTGATGAATTATTTTTTATTGCGTAAAATTTTTTTGCAGATGGTTATCATATAAATTAAGAAATCCAATAATGATAAACGTATTTTACTGTAATTTTGAAAATGTTTATTAAAAGAATCCTGGTGAATATCCTACCAGGCTGGATTTTTCAATTCTCGAGTACTAGTTAGAGACTTTAAATGGATCTATCACCGTAATATCAATGCCAATAATTGGTAATTGATATTAATAAATGATATCCTAGAATGTAAAAATCAGTTCACGTTCACTGAACTTCTTATTTACATTAGCCAGATTCAGCAATAAGAAAAAAAAAAAAAATTAACTTTTGATTCAAGTGAATATCAATGAATCCAATGAATTTCTCCTCAAAGTTGTATGAAATTAGAAGTTCATTTCATAAGATTTTATATGATGAGATTTTGGCAATTTTATGAATTTTTTGGTCCCATGAATAATTGAAGTCTTAATAAAATTTATTATGTGTTAATTCTTCAGTTGCGTATATAATTTAAAATAATACTAACCTTAAAATGGTCTATAATAGACATCAAAAAATTAAATATTTTAAAAATTAAACAAAATATTTGCATCTGTTGTACCGACTTCTAAAGCATAATAAACTAATTTTGATTCTGGCAATTACACAATTCTAATAAAAATTCTGGTTGACAAGTTATTTCTTTTAGTGGGAAAAATGATGCCGAATTAAATAATCATTCCCATTAAATTATCATTCCCATTTTTTTCTTATGAATAAAATTTCCATCTCTACGAATAACGCAAAGAAGCGTTTTAGTTTGCTAAAACTGACACTAGATCTATCATTAAAAACAAAGAGTAAATAATGCTGTGGTTCCACCTGCACTTTTCAATTCCAAGTGGTTTTTTGTGCAATCCAGGCAAGCTAGAAATATTCAATAAATTTGACTATTTTAGAATTTTCTTGTTATCGATCTTTATATTTAAGGTATTTCATGAATGCCATTTGTAGAAGATTTTTCTCTCTTTCCGATTTTTCGCTTCAAATAACTGTAATTAACGGTGATCATAACTGATGTTATTATAGTGTTCTAATATAATCATTTATAGTAAAATTAGAATTACAGTCTTAAGCAAATTATATCTTCAGTTTAACTCTACGCTGAAATATTTAAGAATGACTGTATTTTAAAATGTTCTGGACCATGAATGGGTCTTAATGCAACCGAAATGAAAAGACCGATTATAAGTAAATTTATAAGTAAATTTGCTCAAATTTTCAAAATCTTTTATCAGGTCTAAAAGTCCAAATTAGCTGGATACGTTCTATGCAAATGAATCAAAATATTTCAAAAACCTTGGGTTCGTTTTAGGTAATTTGATTTTATGAGGGTACGTCGGCGCAGGTTTGTGTATATGGGGAATTGACAGACTCCTTCGAAATAAGAACAGGTATTCGTCAAGGTTATATCCTTTTCTTTACAATATTCAACTATGTAACAGACCGGGAAATGGATATCGTTTGTCGGCATTCAAGAAGTCTACAGATCTATCCAGAGCATAGTATGACAGACTTTGAATATGCTGATGTAGTCCTTTTTACTGACAGTTATGACGAAATGCAAATAATGCTAATCAATTTGTCGACAACTACAGCGAGAGTCGGACTAAGAATCAATATAAAAAAAAGTTTTTTCGTCTTATTTGCAAGAAGCAGATAAAATGCCTATTTCTGTCAATTCTTTGACTGAGGAAATGCGAGATTTCAAATATCTCGGATCCATACTAATCCCAAATGGAAGATGAACCTGGGTAATGGCCAGAATTGCTTTCTTCCGCTTGAAACATTTATGGATTCGTCGCGAAATCACTATAAAACGAAAATCTATATCTGTATAGCTGCAGTTCGCTCGATCTTACTATATGGCTGCGAGACATTGGCCAATGAGAATGGAGGATTTTAAGAAGTATGCCTTTAACCATTCATGTCTAAAATATGTTTAAGATCTTAGGGGTTCGAGCGGATAAAATCGCATATGATTGCATCGACTCTAGCTTAAATACCACTTGCATTAATTAGCTGGTTAGGGCACGTTCTTCGTCATCCCCCAAAAGAGTTGACAAGTATTTCTTACTAAACGTGACGGATGGAGTTAAAAGTGAAAAAGTCCACTCAAAATCTGGACTAACACAGTCAGGAAAGATTTTGGATGTATAGGTGAACCAGCTATATATGGAATTGAACGATAAAAAAAGAAATGATTGCTGTCAACGATAGCATTGGAACGATTAGCTTGGAGTCATCTTGGGCGATCTAATTTATTGTTAATAAATTGGGGCTTACGTTATCAGGTTCGAAATATATTTTTGATTAATTTTATATCTCATTTGTGATACCATTTCCATACACCACTGGCTTTTAGCAACAGTTAACGAAATTAAAGATTTATTTAATAGAACCATAATCTAATAGAAAAATACAGGAAAGAATGATTTGTAAATAAGAGAGAGTATCAAATTATTGCGTTTTGGGATTGGTCAATTATTCCTAAAAATTTTCAGCATATTCGATCAAAACGAAGGAGATGAATTTTTCGAGCGATCCAAATTAGATTTCTTAAAAGCGAAAAAATGATAAAAATTTAGAGTTTTTTAGCTTGATTTTTAATATTTGGAATTATTTCAGATTAACAACTGCAATTCTTCGAAAAATTAGTGAAAGAAATAAAAAAAGTGCACGTTGTTAAAAATAAGAGTGCCAAATAAAAAGCTATTGCAGTGAAATATTATGGCCAATGCTTATCTGAATCCAAACAAATTTTTTTTGGCCAATATGCCTGTTTACTTTGGACTTATAACTCTATAAAGTAAGTAATAAATATAATTGAACAAAAGGATTATTAAAATTTTCGAATTAATAAAATTTTTTATATTGGTTCTTTATTTTATATTATTTTCTTTTTAGAAATATGATCTGATAATCAAGGCGCTGGCATTTTTCAAATTTCCGAAATTTATCTTCAAATCTTTTTAAAATCCACTATACAGTCCACACTATATTTCCGAAATTCACTATCCACTATAATTCCGAAATTTATCTTCAAATCCTCTTAAAATCCATTAAATCCACTATATCCTAAGCAGAGCCGTGAATTGTTTTTAAGAGGCATTTCGCTAAGAGATCATCAGTAAAAAAATGATGTATTTGATAATAATAATCTTAATATTGAACCAGATGAACGTTTTCATTAAAATTTCCATGTCTCCATTTTTGATACAATGCTTATTTGTAGTTTCCGTGCAGAGAAAGGTATTTATTCATGACCTTCTATATAAAAAGTAATTTTCATTTCCAAAGATTGCTATTCTGAATCAGTTTTTTAGAAATAAACTGGTTTAAATTAATGCTTTCGTCGTTTCTTCAGATTGTTGTTTCATATTTGCCTGAAAACTAAGCTAAGTAGCATATAATTGATATAATTTTGTATATATATATATATATATATATCTATAATTATAAAAAAAGAAGCTTCATCCTTATACCTTACCTTTACAGCTATGAAATAATTGTAACAGAATAATGGATTTTGTGAAATGGACTGCTGTTTTAACATGGAAATGAGTATTATTTTCAGTTTTCCTTTCATCTATATAGCAATATAAAATTGATAATAATCAGTGTTTTCAATACTTTGAATTCTTTATTTTTCTTCATCTGAAAATTACTTCACTATTGAGCAATTTAATTTCTTTCATTATTGATAAAATCACAAAACTTTAACATAGGTCAAGTGTTATCCAATCGAGGCTTGTTCCTATAAATCACATCATAATCTAATTAACAAACGTTTTTTAGTACGTCATTGCTGATAGAAAACTCTGATTACTTTTGTGCGAAAAAAGATGCCGCTGATGGAAAAAGGAGAAAGTTTTGTATACACAATATTTTTATTGCTTTAAAATGAAAAAAATGAATTTTGCACGTCGTGTCTCTTATGAATCCCCAATTTGCATTATTAAAATAGCATTTTACTACATTTTTTTCGTAGCATAAAATTATTTTATGCCGTGAAATAAAAGAATTCATAGTTTAAAGCAGATTATTCCACATTACCAAATTTAAAAGCGACAAATAACTCGCAGATAATACAAAATTAATAACTTTTATACTTTTATACATTAGCTTAGCTTTTATATTTACATTTTTTTTAGTTTTTAGCTTTTATACTTTTCTTATAAAATATTATCATATTATCATGTCATCAGGATTGCTAATATAAATTTTTTTTAAGTTTATTTTTAAAGTTATTTTTCGAAATTTCATTATCTAAATTTTATTATTATCTTATTTTATTACTTTTTCTTCTTGTCTGCCACAGTTGTTCGCTTTGAATTTATTGCATTAAAATTTAAAAAAAAAGCTTTAGAATAAAGCTTGTTTCACCGAGGAACTATTAGTATCGAAAATTTAATTCGGCAAATTCGGTTAGATTAAGCTCATCTTTTGGTATTTATATCGCGTAGTTGTAGAAAGTGGCAGAATAATAATGACAAAAATTTTTGACAATTATCTATTTGCTTATCTATTTTCGCTTTTTTATCCATTGGAACCAAATTGCTATTTTGTAATTTATCTCACTTCGCAATAATAAATACAGAATTTTGTATGAAATAACTGATGCAGAAGAAGAATAAAGTGCAAATTACAGTTTTTAGGCAAATATCTTAAAGGAGTGTTATCTGATTAATTTATCAATTTGTAAAATCATGCTCATCAACTTTTCGAAAACTATCGAAAAATCATTGAAGAAAGAGCATTTTCTGGCAGCAATACTTGTTAATCATTGTGTTGATCTACCAAACTGCGCGGCTTGATGACGTTATTTCAGTTGAATTATTTTCTCATAATGGCCAATAATTATTAATATAATAATTATTTTTTTCGGGTATTTCCTTCTTTTTGCCGAAGCACAACGTCCTCGATCTTAAAAATGTGCTTATTCCCTTAATCTATAGATCGTAGATCTATACTATATTAAATTTAATGTAAATTTTTCTTATTCTCTGCACATAATTAGCAATTAAATTGGTAAAATATTGTGATAATGTGTTTTCTCGACTAGTCAAGCATCGTTGATTCTCTTCTTCGTTCTTCACAGTCAAAAGCAAGTCAAAAAAATTGAAATGCGAGTGATGTTAAGTTTTCATTTGCACATTTATTCCATTCAAGCCAGTGGTGACGAAATGATCCCGTCTTTGCAGCCCTAGAAGCCAATCGCCATTAGAGAGAATAATACTTTATAAGATAATGCATCTGGTCACTTAGTTTTGAAATTGAAAGTTCCTATTTCGAATGAATGTCTCATAGCAAATTGAAAAATCTGACAAAATTTCAAATTATATTATTAATCAACGTAGCGAGCCTTATCAGAAATGATGAGTGCTAATCTCTTATTTATAACAAATAAGTCTATTATTGAAGGGTGTTAAAGGATGTTCATCATTAAGAATAGTAGAAACTTATTGTAATTTTCAAATTTGTTATTTTGAGGCTGTTTTAATTCATTAATTCACTGTTGTTTAATATCACTTAATACCATTGTAAAAAATAGAATAATATAGAAAAAATAGAATATTAATAATATTTAAAAGCAGTGGTTATTGCTCGCCTATCAAGCGTTTATATTTTAGAATAACCTTGATCCGGCTGGTTTATCAGGACAACACTGATCACTTCACTCAGACTTGAATAATCAAACTTCAGTAATCTATTGATAAGAAACAACAATATTCGATACAAATTAAACTCATAGGCTAAAAAAATAACAATCTCAGAACAAATACGAAATATCGAATAACAAAAGAGTAAAATATTGAAATATTGGGATCCAAATGCTTAGGCCCCTTGGCGGCTCCACAGTGAGGGAAGAAAAAAAATTTCCTTGAGAAGAATAAACAATATATACTATAAATTGACTTTTATTGAAATAATGAAATAATGAATTTGAAATAATTTGAAATAATTTTTTCATTTCTCCCGTAAAAACATAATTCCATAGTGAAAAATTTTACATAAAGACCTTTTGTCCTAAAGAAATTATGACGTTCTCCGGTTAACTTTTGATTTATTTGATTGATCAAGCGTCAAGTCCTTATTTATCGGTTTATTATTCAACCTTTTGTTTAAGAAAGTGGTTAGTGCCCACCATTTCCTGTTGATATACCTCCACTAGTGCGACAAGAAATTTCTGCCATGAAGTCACACGGCGATGGAGTGGATCACTAGCGCCAATTGAAGGAACCTTATTTATATCGGAGATATCCGAGTATTCAGGGACAAACTTTGATGTTCGGATCAATAATCTAAACAACACTGGGCTATCAACTTCCTCAGTCTTTCTTTTTCGAACAGATCTAATCTAATCAAATTAAACTGAAATTTTGAACGAATTTTTTAAAAAGATCTATTTAGTAAAAAGTGGATCTAAAAAATTTATATTTTAGGAAATCTCTAAATAGGAAGCATCGTTTTTATTAATTAATAATTAATAATAATTTCTTGGACTAAAATGATTTTAACAAAGACAGAATGGTAAGCATGGAAAGCATTTTCTTTGGATAATCCAAATCTGAGCTACCTGTGGTAAACCAATCTTAGTTTAACAGGCGATGGAATGTGAATATCGGCGATGAGCTGGGAGATTCAAGTCAAGCCAGTCTCGACTAAGCAGTATTCTTTACCCGAGACATTATTGAGTGCTGCAGGGGCTCAATAAAGTAGAATTCATGAAATGTTGAAGATCCTTCATTTTATTCCGCAGTACTGTAAATTTGGTATTTTTCTTCACCATTATTAACTCTAAATATTAGAATTGAAGCTGCGTTTAGAGAATTATTAGCCTCACCATGTTATTTTAAATCTCGAAAGTTTACAAATGAGATTTGTGATTTCGATTATCAATTAGTTTCAGGCAAAAAATTATCGACTTACACTATTAACCGCATTTTTTTAACTTTTTATCGTTCGTTTCATGATTCGCTTCTGGTGATGACGTATGCCCATTTAATGACGCAAATTTTACAGCCAATTTTAAATGTTTTATTGGTGATTGTCGATGCACATTGCATATTGATTGCAATACGATATAAGTACTCGATAAAAGGAGAATTATTGTAGGCGCGGAAAAGGCCAAATTATAAACTATTTTGGACCCTTGAAGGCCCACTAGATCTAAAGAAATGAGTAGTTGTGCAAGAATCATACCATATTTATATTTATCATATTTTTATTTATCATATTTAGTAATATACCTATTATTTTTTTCTATTTCTTGGTTAAGCGATAAATTATATTTGCTTTTGAATTATTTTTGTGCAGCAGGCCTTCTAATATATTTGTTTTTGCCTTGCATTATTTATGCTTAGCTTTTTAAAAAGAAGTACAGATAAATACTCTTTCTTAATTTCTTAACTAAAATTAAGATAATGCGAATCTAACCTTTTTTTATTTGATCAATTTTTCATCAATTTACAGGTGAATTGAAAACAATTTTGAGAATTATTATTAAAATTTATATTTATATTCGCTAAATTCAAATTGTAATATCAGTTAAAATAAATATTTAAATATTAAACGAAATTATGCCATTGATTCACCATCTTTAATTTTAACAATATTTCTTATAGTATTCTTTAAAATGTAATTCTTTGTAATTGTAATAACCTTACTTTTAAAAAGTTGCTTTTCAACTCTGATATTGCAAAAAATAAATTTGCAGCACATTGTTTCAACTTTCTGCTAAATAATCAACTATGATTACCATACCAAACTGCGGTGGACAAAATATTACAGAATTCTACGCTAGTTCACGCCGATCGTCCTTGTATAAAACGTTGCGAGTGAGTTTTAAATTTTATTTTCATAAGAGACTGAGCTATGCAGATCATTACAATTTTTTAAGTCCCATTAAAATTAGCTTACAATGTATTCGCAGTTAGTTCTTTAGTAATTACGGATTTTTTTTCGAAATCTCCCGAAAACAAAGTTTATTAGTCGCTATCATAAAAATAATGAAATTTATTATTTCTCGCTCAATTCATCTTTGTCATGCTTTTTAATGAAAAAATTACATTATAATATGGACACATCCAAAGTTAAACGAAATTATACTGAAACAACATAGAGATGGCTGATCTTGATTAATAGGTTCGATCGCAATCCATCAGTTACACGAGAGATGGTCGTGTATTAATCAATGGAGAATTGTTAAGAAAATCAATTCCAAATGAAAAATGGGGTGAACTAATTAGAGGAAGCATTAAATTTACAGTTTTTGAACAATATCGACTTACTTCAAGTCTGAGTGAAGGCAATCTTCATCAAGCAAAATATTTAGTCGCAGGCTCATTTGGTAAGTCATTTTAACAAAAATAAAAAAATGCATTAAATCTACTAATTTTTCTTTTGAGCAACTGGCATTTATAGGACAAACAGAACTTGTAGAAAGCAGATTAGAAAAAAATATTGGCAGAAATTCAGCCGATCAATCTGGTGATAAAGTCGCAGATGCACAACCGAAAAAGCAGAAGAAAAATGCAAAAGTTAATGAGAAGAATTTTAGCGAACAAAATCGACATGAAAATCAGACATTGCACTAAATTATTTTTAATAGGCAGTTGTTGGTCATTTTATAGCTTTCGAATGTAAATATTTGATAAAATTTTAAAAAAAGAATAAGCAAAAAAGTTATTATTGGAATTGATTTGTATGACGGCATGAATTAGAAGAGAAATTGAGTTGCTTCGAAAAATGATCAACTGAATGAATAAATAAATTGAAAATTAAAACAACTTTTCGATTTTGCTCAAATATTTACTCGAAATTTGGAGGTGAAGGCCGAGTCTTCATTGTCACATATCGATAATGAAGTGACTTTGCAGACTTGTGAATTCCAAATTTCAAAGAAAAGCAAAAATATTCAATAAAGCCAAAGTCACATTTCCATCTAATTTCATAACAACTGATTGTTATTTTTGCTTTTGTTTTTTAAATTTTCTCGCTTTTTTAATATAAGTAAGCGTCGTTATAGATTGCCATAAATATTTATTATTTATTGAAATTTTCTATTTGATTAAATTTATATTATTTTCTTTTGAATTTTGAAATCTTCGGTTATATCATGGAATTAAATGAATTTCTACAAAATAAAAATATTTCTATAAAAATTTAAACGAATAAAAGACAAAACATTTTTTTCTGATATGGAAAAATAAACAGTGAGGAATTCTTTAAAAAGTTGGAATATTCTATTAGCTGTGATATTTAAGTAATTTTCATTTTAATTTAAAATTGCGCACAAATAAGCCATAAGGATAATTTATGAAATTATTGAAGGTTAGTAAATCGACCAATAAATAACCAAATAACCAAAAAAGCGAAAAAAATGATAAAAGAGGAAGTAAAAAAAGGAGCTATCCTTTATCTAATTCGTTGTGATGCGCAACTTTTAAATGTTTCCGAAGATGTACTTTGCGTCGAAAAGTTTCTGGGCACAGTGGACATGCGATTATTATCGGTCGATGTAGTTCCTCATGGCTTTTTAGGTCATTGCGTCGAACAAAGCTTTTACTGCAGAATTCACAGACGTAACTAAAAAGGTTTAAATCATCTCTCTCCGAAATAAATAAATCTCTTGATTTCCATTGCCATAAGATAGCAATTAATTTCTGGAAAGACCATTATCTAAAAAATTTTCTTCAATTTTTATTCCAATGCTTCATTTCATTTAATACAACTAGTTTATCTTTAATCGCAACATTACGCTAGTAAACAACTAAAATTTTTTCATCGAATAGCATGCCTCGTTTTATTGAATGTTGAAAAGTACAAAACTAGACTTACGGCCTCGTTTTCGTGTGTATGGAATGAATATGAGCAGTAAGAGCCTATAAAATATTGGTCAAATATCGATATTAATGATTAACATAGCGATTTTTAAGAACCAAACGCTTTTCTTTAGACAAATAATGATAGAAGCACCTTAGGGCATTTGAAACCTGGATGAGCACAACCAGAAAACGGACAATAATAGACGAAATTTAAATGTTTCATCATTTTATGTCGTCGTAACGTGCTGCTGCGGCCAAATTTAGCTGAGCATAAATCGCATTTATAGGGTCGTTCTTTGCTAAAATCTGCGAATCAATTTATGGACAAAAAAACTCGCAAGATTGTTATTTTTTAATAAGCGGTTTTTTTTCTCGAAAATTCTTAAAGGAACATTGGACGACATTTGTGGATTTAAGAACTTACAAGTGAACTATTGAGATGTGCTCCTTCAAGAGCGATTCACAAGAAACATGCTTACTACAGATTGCACAAATTAATACTTTCGATCTTTCGTGAGTTATTTGATTATGTTTTCGCGCCTTTTCAATATTTTTAAAGTGCTGAAGATTTCTCATATTAACTTAAAGATCTGATAAGATCGAATAAATTTAATAAGTAAGGTTTCTTGAATACATTTAAATAAAATGGCGAAAACTCTAATCTTTAAATATCTTAAATTGTGAACAGTAGAATAACCTTATCACATCGAAGACATTTATATCTTTTTCTATGACATCGGATTTTCCCCTTTAAGTGATAATTTATGATGTGAGTTTGAACATTTTGCTTCATCGTGAAAGTGCTCTCGCAATGATCACAAATATATTGTTTTTCTCGAAATCGTTGGTACTTCTGTCGCTCACCATTAATTACATATTGCAACGTTTCCGATTGTAAGCATATTTCCTGATAATCTATTCTTTTCAATTAGGTTTATTATGAAATATATTTTGGAATAAAGAACTTTCAGAAATGAATGACTTTCTAGAAATTCAGAGTTATTACTTTCATAAAATATTGAAGCTAAAAATGTGAAATTGGACATGGTAAAGGTGGAAAATATCCTTTAGTATTAATACCAGTTAGTACCAATGACAGCATCATATCTATATACTAACTTTAAATCCGATTGGTTCAAAGTAATTTCTACCAGAATAAGCATATTGTAACATACATGTACTTCTTGATGTTTCGCTGAAATTTTGCATTAGGAATGTATATATATCAATTAGATATTAACTTTTTAAAAGCAAAAGAAATTTCCTACTGCCATGTATTGTACAAAAACTGAAATAAAAAGAATTTGTCTTCTAAAAAGATGCATATACTTTTATTTCAGGTGACTCCTTGGTAAAACTACCTCATCTTCTTAATAGCCAATGTGTAGAACCTAAGCAAGAATGAGTATTATTTATTTTGTATTCATTATCCACTTGTGTTTTCCTTTCAATAATTTATAATTTATCATATTAATCTATAATTTATCAAAAAAATTCATTTTATTAATTTTATGGAACTTCTTATAGAAGATTGATGCGCTTTCATCGGACGAATAGGGTTTAAAAAATTCCATTTGCTGATGATGTTCAGTTAGTTGCAAATCGTTCGTTAGACATAAATTATGATGATCAACGCATTTCTTATTCCTATCATGATTGGGACAATTCGCACCTAAAGAAAATGTTTTAAAGAAGCTCGGATGCTCGATTTAGTCAGATCAATGCAAACAAAGATCTCAGAGGAAAAAGTTATCTTTGTATCAAAAAATATAAAAAATATAAATAACAATAGACTTTGGAATTTCATTATAAGATGATGTGCGAATTGCCTTTCGCCCAGAAAACAATAAAACATTTGAAATGTCCTTTTTTTATACATTTTAAATTTAACGAAATTAGCAGATAGAATGAAAAAAATTGAATAGATGAAGTCGCGAGGAAGATGGACTAATGATATAGTTGAACTCAACTCAAGCTTCAGAAATAAAATTTCCATTCGTTAGTGGGATCAAAAGGATTTAAAGTAAAATCCGGCCCTAAGAATTCATTCGTACTTGTAACTAGTATACTAGTGACTAATTAGTTCAGTAATAAGTGGAACTAGTCAAATTAAAAGTGATTAAAAGAAAAGAGGTAAGCATCATCTACCTATCTGCAAAGGGACAAAAGTTATTAGATAAAAAAATGAAGAAATTTAGATGGTAAATTTAGATGCTTAAATTTTTGAATCCTAGAATTTGACATAAAAAATTACCTTCTATGCAGTAAAAACATAATTCCATTTCGAAAAATAATCTAAAATCGATTTGGTTACTATTTTCAAATTCTGACTGATGCATTTCACTAGCTATTTGACAAAAAGAACGATCTAACCAGTGTTCTTTCCACCAGATATTAATACACAATTATTTTCGATTAATTTTGCACGTGGAAAGTGTTGTCTCAAAATTTGCATAGAAAAGAAATCAATCTAGATAAATGGTGGAAAAAATCAAAAAAAGCTACTTACCATAAAAGCTACTAAAATATTTTTGACTACAACCAGATTGAAGCCACTGAAATGACAAACCATCATGAAAGGCACGACAATAATAATAGATTTTGTGAACTTTATAGCGAAAAGGCAAAAGTTATTACTCGTGTCAAACTTCTATAGTTATTACAAAATATTAACATAATTGGAAAGTTATGCTGGAATTTTAACGATTTTTTAAGCAATTTTCTGAGGCATATGTCAGGCTTAAGTCTTATCAGATTTTTTTTCAAGGGGTACCAAAATGCAATTGGGACTTGTTAAACTGGTTAAATATGTGTATTTTCATAATCTGTACTTAAATATGCTTTATAATAATAAAATACTTTTCATTTTTATCTGCTGATGAATTGTTCTACTCTTGACAGCGATAATGAGATAAATGGCTACGCAATATGAATCGCTCTCTGTAAGTAAATGTATTAGTGACGAAAAAAAAAATCTGGAAAATTATTCTAACCAATAATATAAACTTATTTTCGAGATGTGACTAATTGAAGCCATTTATGAACCGTTTATTAAAATTTATTTTCCTTTTTTCTACCATTGGTTAAGTTGGCTTCGCTTATTACAAGGGTAAGACGTTTCCAAGTTCTGTTTGACGCCACTGCTGACAATAATAGAAGCCATTCTTTTTTCCACCGTTCGTATATCGCTGGTTTACCTATGCGCTTACAATCTTTCTTGTATCAGCCCAGGTTCTGATTAGTCTTGCTCGCTTTTGCCCCAATCAGAGAATAGGTTTTTTGCCTAACAATTCAGTATTAGAGTGGATCCAAGATAGTTAAAATTAGGCAGTTCTTCGACCGATGAAGAATTAGGTATTCTGTTAGCTTCTGGTATATATGGTGAAGAGCCATTCGTTTTATTGTGCCTTTTCAGACGTAGCAATCACTACACCCGAAGTATCCGAAACACCTCCATGAAATAGACAGTACTTCTGTTCGTAGTCCAGTTTATATCGCATGCACCACGTGGCTGGAAATATCATGTGCGTCGGATGACGAGGACGCCTTGTCAAAAAGATGGTTATCTAATCTCTTTCGCCATAGAGACGATATAGTTGTAGGTGAATTCCCAGCCACGTGGATTTTTGATATTTTGACAAGTTGATTCCTGTCAAAGGCAGAGATGGAGAATTGATGAAGAGTGGAAAATAAAATAGAAAATTAAAAAAAGAAACTCCATAAGATTGAGATTATTCGAAATTTTTAGAAGTTTCGAGAAAAAAACGCCATACCACTATCATTGCATACCATTTTTTTTCAAAATTTAGCAATATATAATAGTAATAATACATGTTATCCCTCTAAATCTCTAAATCAGAGAGGATTAAATACTATTAACGAAAAATTTTTCAAAACATTTTTATAGACAAATAACTACCAAAAATTAAAGTAAGAAAGGGAGATTCTAGAGCGGCTTAAAATGGATTCATTAAGAATTTGAAAATAAAATTGCTCCAAAATTAGTTTATAATAATTAGTTTAGTTTATAAAATGCTTTATAAAAATATTTAAAAATTAGCTTATCATGATATTATTAATATTATCATTAATATTTTCTTATCTTTTTTATCTTCATTTTTTTCTTTTTTATAAACAGTTCCTGATATATATATTATATGCATATATGTATATAATTTTTTCTTTGAAATACTTCAAATGATTAAGGTTGCAAATATGCTAAGAATGTCATGAAATTATTGATTATATTGATTGATTACAATATCTAAGATAATACTATAAATTTTCGTTAAAACTTTGGAGAAGTTAATAGTTCATACTCAAAGCCTTATTAATTAGATATATAGATATAGAGGCAAGAAAGAAAGTATGGTATATTCTTAGCCAAAAGCCGTTTGTGTAATTCGACGAGAAATTCAAGATTAGTTTGAACTTTTAAAATCGCATCAATATATTAAGAAAGAATTGTTCCGAAAAATGTGATTCAGGAAATATTGCCGGTGTCTTTGACCAGATTATTATCATTTCGAGCACTCTGCTTCTGCTGCGCATTGGCAAGCAGCTTGCCAAAAATTCACTTGGAGATCCATTTTTATTTCTATCTTCAAGTAGGTCTAAAATTGTCTGATCCCACCGATAGCACGCAGGACGAATTCATAAATATTATAAATAAATATTAAATATATAAATATAAATATTATATTACCATAAATATTAAATATTTTTTTCTTCAAGTGCTCAGAATTTTTATAATGACAATCAAGTGAAAAATTCAAATTTATCTTCGATAATTAGCTTAACACACAACAAAAACTACTAGTATTAAAGAATTAGATTTAAAAGTGAAATCCAGACTAAAACTCATTTTTATTTCATTTTTTTGAACATATTTATGTACTGATGGACTGATCATAAGAAGAATATTGCTAAGAGACAGGAATTTCAACAAAAAAATTGATGGTGAACAGAATTATAATAATCGACTCTAGTATCGATATCAGTTACACTTTGATATTCTCCGCTATCACCAATTTCTTCATTTTTTCCACATTCTTTAACTTCAATTATTGATGAATTACTTTTTTTGCCGAAGTTCTGCAAGATCATGAGTTTTCATTTTTAAATCACAAATTATAAATTTGTACAAATAATTTCTAACTGTGAATTTTTTCTGAATTACTAGTTGGCATAATTTCGAATGAGCGAGAATAATTCCTATTTCCAAGTTAGATGCTTTGAAAGCATTCAACAATTAATATCAAATCTTCGAGGATATGGATTTGAAATAAAAGATAATATGGATGATTTTTGAAAATTAAAATTCCACATATGCCATTTGCATTTTAAAAAGTCATCAAAATCTGCAATTCTTGAGCAATTCATTCATAGCAATGACCTGTTTTAACTCCATGCCCCTCTTCTGGTCCGGATGCATTTGCTCGTAATGAATCTCAAGCTTGCTGGATTCAACACAAGCATATTTGCAAAAACTGCATTTCATTTTTTTGGCAAACATATCATCACTATGCTTAAATAAAATGTGTTGCTGCAGTGACGTCTCAGTTTGGCCACTGCAATAAAATTCACTAAATCAATATTTAGTCAATAAACAATTGCTTATTTTACGATTATGAACAATTATTTCTCTTTCATCTGTCAAATTTAAAAGAAAATGAAATAAAAAATTTCTTTCGACGCAAATATTGTAGTTTTTGGGCAACGAGAATAGAATTCTTTGTTACACGGAATAAGAAATACTTCGTTCGAAAAAACTGATAAACTGGTAAACGATAAATATGTTTTCTGATACCGATAACTACATTGTTCGCACCGGATATTTGGTTTGGATTCGATATGAGTGAGCATGTGCTGCAACATATCTTGTTGCGTTATTAATTTTTTATTACACTGAGGACAAAGTAAGGCATTGCCAAGGCGAGCGCAATCAGGAAGATGGCGGCTTATATGTTTTTCAAGCATCGCTGGACTTTTTGATATATGACGGCAAAATATACATTTCCTCGAACCTGAAATATAACTACATAATACATTGCATAATCGGCGAAAATTTTCCGCGAATTAAATGTCGCACCTAGGTCTATATTTTCAGGTAAGGGAATGTGATGCCGGTAAAATCTGTGGAAATGAATGTATCGAGCTTCTCGTGTACTGAATTGACAACCGCCTTCATTACATTGAATTGGTGGGTTTCGATGATAGATTGTCACATGATAAGAAACTGAATTGTATCGTCCATATATTTTTTGGCATACGGTACACATGAATCCGTTCGACACTTGCTTGATATATTTTTTGTTCCGACACCAACCTTAATTATTACAAAATGATATCACTTAATATTTCCTGCATTTCCTGCATTATCACATAGCATATATTTTAGAATTTGATTTTAAGGAATAAACTTGCCTTCTCGATCGCTACTTGGTATTATGACATCTCTTTTTTTAAGTAAAGTTTCATTTACATTTGGTTCAATGCTCATCGTTAAAACTCCATTATTTTCATAGTTATTCGACTGAAACTTGTCTAATTCCAGTATTAAAAATATTGTATAATAGATTATTTTTTTAAAAAAGTTGATGTTTAAAATTTGTCTAATATATATTCCAAAAATTTCGAGGATTCAAGTCTCTTTTTGAATTATGAGTACCAATCTTTTTCGTTTTCCCATCATGCATTTTGAAGGTGTAATGGACTGAGAAAACGATGATGATGAAAATTGATGCGTTTGAGGAAAAATATTTGTATGAAATAACTGAAAAAAAAATACGAAAAAATAATCGAATTTCGGTAGTGCAATAATGGATAGGCATCATCAGACATTCCAGTATTAAAAATATTGTATGATAGATTATTTTTTAAAAAAAGTTGATGTTTAAAATTTAAATTTTAAAACGAAATCTGAGATACTTGTTGCATGAGCAGTTGGTCAGATGAAACTGTTGATAGATCTGTGAATCGTAGCAGAGGCTGCTGGAAAACAATCACATGGAATTCATAAATTAATAAGTATGGAACGAAAATATTAATGATAAGCTAAATTTTGTGGTGTATTAGCATGTAAAGACCGAATAAATGAAAAGCAACTAACTAATGCGATCGATGAATTGATATTGGATAATGGCAGTGAGTTTGATAAAAGTGATGAACTAATAAAAGCTGATTTAGTAGAACATGGTGGAAGCAAAAAACCTGTGAACAGCACAGCTTTAATGCTATTTCTGAATTTCGCAGCAAGAATATTTACAATGATTAGATTTCTATTTCATGTTATCTCGTACGGCAATAAGTAGAAATAGAACCAGGAATTTGCAATTTTTTTTTCAATTTGCATTTTATTATTGAAAGTCGTGCTAATTACAAACATACTTGACGCAATTCCTGATAAACTTGTTTCATTGCAGTACGGTCTCAATATCTCTTCTGCATCATTAATTTGATAGTAATGCGCAAGTTGCATTAACTAAAGTACGCCTGGTCATAATTATTTAGAGTTTTATGAGCAAAATTTTTCTTTTAAAAAACTACCATTAAATAATATTTTTGAGAACCAAGATTTTATTACTTCCATAGAATTTCCATATCTATTACCTACATTAACTGAGTTATTAAATAAATTGAGATAAACTGTCGATAAATTCAAGGAAGAAATGCGATAACGGCAAAAAGAATGAATTCTGAACTCTGCTGCTAAAGAAAATTTCGAATACTGTCTAATTAAGTACTGATAGATTAATACTAACGGATGAAATGAAGAAATAGTATATTTATAATAATAGCATTCGAAAACTTTAGCAACTAAATTTGAACTTAAGCTACTAAATTTTTGAACTTCTAATAACTTCTAATAAATTTTACGCTCATTTGTACCTTTTCCTTATACCTGTAATAAATGCCTCTTTTTTAGAGAAACTGTTTAACAATTCACCAAATAGAAGATTACTGTATCGTCTTGAAAATTTTTTACTCAGTATCTAAGATATTTATTTTGAAAACTTTTGTCTCTACCATTTTATTATAAAAGATATGAGTATTCTTGCACTCATTACTGCAAATATTACTACAGTATTTCATATTGCACGACCTTCTTTACCTGATTCGGATCGTTTTTAGATATATCTAGTAATCCGCTATATAAAAAATCCAATATAGCTTCGAGACAATTGGCCGAAGAATCGGTGTTTAATTTTACAGTGATTTTATCACCATTTTTCTAAAAGATCGTTGAAATTCAAGCCAAAATTTACGAAAATTAAGAAACATGAAAAGTGATTAAAATAGAAATAAAAAGATAAACTCTTTAAAAAAGGATTTGGGTTTAATTTTATTTGAAATTTAAAAAATACATGAAAAGCTTTTCCTACTTATGAGGTCATTACCAAATGCTATGTGGATCATTCACCATCCAATAAAGTCCTGATTAACCTGAAAAGCTTCGTTAAAAATTTTACAGCCACTCGCTATAACATTTCGATGTGCAAAAATCTCTTTAACAGCTCCATTCTTCGTTTCGATCCGAATTTTACAGTCCACAAATTCTCCATTACTGCGAAGTTGTTGTAATCGTGATGAAAGAGCTGAAGCATGCATATTCGATCTTATCAAAGTGGGCTTCATGATAGCAAGATCCGTTTTCCTAAAACTTTAGCACCTAGAAAAATTAGTTTGCCATAATAAAAACTATAATAAAACTATAATTTTTTTTGTGAGGAAAATGCTAAAGGTAACTAACTAGTTATGTCATTCATCTTTTGGCACATCAAATGGCATTTCTAGCTTGGAACTTCATCAGCCTTCATGCCAATAAATCAACGCCTAACTCATAGCTCTTTATTTAGATGAAAGCCTAAACCCCGATAATGATGGGACAGAAACTAAACTTTATAAAACAAGTTTCAAGCTTCGATGATTGCAAAATAAAGTAATTTTATGTTCTATTTAAAAGATCAAATGGATTTACAAACTTTTAATCCGAAATCTCTCATTCAATTATTTAATGAAATGGAAAAATAAAATGACTATTGAAGAAACTGAGGCAAGAAACAAGCTAATTATATGGTGATGCAAACAAAAAACAGTAGATCGCAGTAAAAAACAGTATAAAAGTGACAATTCCAAATTCTCGCAGTATGTATTAGAATTTAGGCAAATCGTATTTTTAATTAAAGGAGTAGCAAAAAATATCCATTATAGAAATGTTTAAGCAGTTCCAAAAAAATACGCATAAGAATCTGTTTCTAAACTCATTAATCTTCTTTTGGAATATTCAGCATGAAATTATAGTGCGAAAGCAAAGTTTGACGGTTGCGAAAATACTATGGTAAATTGATTTATGGAAATGATGGAGAAATTGCCTGAGAGTTGGATTCGTTCAAACACAAATTGGTTTCCTTTACGATGTACTTTTACTTTTCTCCATTACGATTAACTCTCCAGTTTACGACCAAGATGATTGCTTATCGGCATAACTTCATAGCAATAATTTCAATGCATTTTCTTTCATTATAAGAAAAAGCTTTTTTCCCTATCGATAAAATTTTTATCGGCCCGTCAGACTGTATCATGAAGCTTTAAACTGTTCTTTTTTATTTGATTCATTATTAGACTTATTCATAAATTGGGAAAAAATGATTTAAAATAGTTGGCTTGTGGTCATAAGAACTATAATTCTTCGCTAATTTCTTTTAATTGTAATTTTAATTGTAAGTAATAGTTCTGTGATATTGTAGAGGAAAATATTGCAATGATTTTCCGTGCACATTATTTTATTTCAAGCATATTTCGTCCAGTCAACAACGACAACTATTTGTCCTTAAAATGAAATCCAAGTTCTTATCAGTGAACACTTTTATTTTTCTATTTTTTAGTAAAAAAATTTGCAAGGATTGAAACTGTGCAAATTTAATGAAATTGCTATAAATTTAAAACTCATTTAGAACAATTATTGTATATAAATAGCGCAGTACTTTTCATATTGGAAGTACTACCTTGTTCCTGAAGACCTTGCAATTCTTTCAACAAATGGTATGTGTTAAATCTACAGAAAAAAAAAATTACAATACAGGTCAAAAATCAAAATTCAAAACTCTAAAAGGTAAACAATATGCCTCATAAAAAGTATAAAAAGAGTTTCTAAGAAGAGTTTCAAACAATCAGCATTTATTAGCATTTATTGAAAATTTTTGATGATAAGAACTTAAATGATTAATGATTAATGGAAAAAACATAACTATTGCTACCGTAATAGTTCCTCAGCTATAGATAAATCTTGAATCTACGAAGATTGAAACCATTTTCTTATTGTGATGATCTAATTTTCTCGAAAAAAATTATTTTCACTAATATAAATTTTATTTTAGTGGACTGACAAAGGAAGCTCATGAAAAGTTCATTGTTATCAGCGAATATTTGTTTTTTTTATAAAGAACGCACTATCAATCAGCTAATAGACCTAATAAAAAATTTCTAATTTTAAGATGCGATAAAATACATTCAATTTTAGTCTGGTCTGGTGAAAAAATTTGAATCAACTTTTTTAGTTCTTAATAGCTCTTAATAGAATACAGGTAAATCCTCCACCACTTCTGGATAAACTGACTTCTAAAGTAGCAGTGGGAAATTTTCTGTCAAGTTATCATCTGATTATAAAAGGCAGATGGATTCAACACTAGGATTTTTTACATAATAGATTTGTCAGAGATTGGATCCCGCTTGTCAAACATTTTTCCAGGTTCTTAGATGATGCCATAAAATTCCCGCGACGTTTTAGAGTTTAAAATTTTAAAGAATTTATTAAATTTTCCTGTTATCATCAAATAATTTATTTATTATCATTCAAACAAAATAAAAATATATGTTCCAAGTTGGACTTCCACTCTTTGAGAATTGCTATGGATCTCGAAGGATCTGTAAGGACTGGTGACGCCTAGTTAGCGCATTGTTACCAAAAAACAGATGAATTTATCGTAAGAAAAATGATTCAAGAAGCCAAGTCTAAAATTGCGATATTTACGGAGAAATACGAAGAGATTTGACCAGAAATATACTTTCTAGATTCGCATTTTAGTCACCCCAGTTCGGCCTTGCTATTGGTGGGACAAAAATCAAGATTTAGATGTGTACCCTTCTCAGTTGGATTCTTCATCCTATTAGCTAATGCAGCCAGTAAGTGTTATCCCACTGTTTATTTATTGCCACCAAATAGATAAATGAGAAAAATTTTGAACTTTTTAGTTTTAGATTTTTTAGCTTTCTTATCAATATTTGCAGACCTCATTTATAAAACCAGAAGTATGTTTAAAGCCTTCCTTCTATTGCAAGTGAAGTGAAATTTTCGCGAGCTTTCCAATCGTCTTCTAAAATAAATAAATTTTACATCAAAATAATGATTTCTTTAGCGCTTTCAATAAGTAAGCTGATAAATTTGTGGAAAAAAATTTGCAAAAATATGAAAAAGTTGCATGAAAATCAATTCTAAAATTCCCCTGATCAGGCATTTTTAAATAGATAAATCATCTACACGAAAAGGTAATATCAATTTTTGTACTCAGTGAGTTGTTGCTCAATTGGGAATGCCGATGCTGAGGGTTCTATTCCCCTCAAAAGTAAATTCCGGGTAATAGTGGCGACTCACCTGTGTTTCTGTCGCCAAGGTACTTCCTGGCATATTACCCAATACGACAAACCATTATTCGAAATCAAATGTTGCAAATTAATAATATAAATCCGAATTTCAGATGATATATCGACAAATCGCTTTGCCTAACTAGTAAACACCACTATTATCTTCATAATAGCTTCATTTGCGGTTGATCAAGTCTGTGACTTATTTGTGAGGTGTAATTCATATTCTGATTATAAATATTTAAATATTCTTGATTTCCTTAACTTTCGATGAAAATGAATATTGCAATATTTTGGACCAGTTTTGTATATGTTCACGTGTAAATTGAACTTGCTTTGCGTTCCATTCATTTTCAGTTAAACAGTTTGATTAAGCAAATTCGCATTGATGCCTTGATTTCAAGCCTTTGTTATTTTTCGCTCAATTGAAATTAATCTTTAGAAGTTTTAATCACTGACCAATATTGATGGAAATAAAAAAGTAAATGTTCTTTTCTTGCTAACTTAACCATTTCTTGCTAACTTTGTTGCAAGGAGAAAATATATATATTGAGGAAAGTATGCAGAAATATATAAACTAATTTAAATATTTATATTAATAATATACATAATCTTCCATTTATCTCAATTTTTTTCTTTTAGCCATTCCACCGGCTATCAATATGGCGAAGGATCTGTACCAGGGAATCACTATAGAAATAAATTATCGTTAGTAACATCCTGAACTTTAAATACTAAGTTTGGCCGCGTAGATCTGTAAGCAAATCTGTAATCTGTATGTGAGCAAAATCTACGAATTAAATTTATTGAGATACCAATCGATGTGACATAACCTTTCTTGACTTTTAAATTTAAATTGTTCTCTAATTCCGTAAGCTTCGTGCATTTCTCTTTCCTCTCTTTAGATTTTCATTTTTCCAAGAGAATATAAAAGTATAAGAAACTGTGCGTAAAAAAGTATTCTTACAGTTTCTCAGGGCTTTAGCCTCACTTCAGCACCATTCTTCGAATTTTCGCCTAATTTATTTTATACCACCAACGATTTCCTTTTCTTTTATACTGCCTATTTCCTTCATACTTTTATTAACAATTTTATTTTTGCGACAAACAAAAAATTCAAAATTTTCCCTACCTTGCTGCTTGAGGCGATTATCTAAGCAAATCATTCTATGCTAAAATTAAACTTTACGCTATTCTCCCATATTAATGGTAATATTTAGGAAAAAATTAGGAAAAAAAATTTGCGATAAATGAAAGATTATAGATATGAAATTATTAATATTAATATGTAAATTAATCTATATATTTCTGTAATGTATCTTCCTCAATGTATATACTTTCTTCTCGCAAGAAAATCAGCAACTCTTTAAAAAGCTATATGACTTTGCAACGATTTTTGAAAAGAATGAAACAAAAGACGCTTTTTTCCTTTCGAAAATATTAATTCCAATTTTTAAAGACATTTTTCGCCTCTAGGTAAGAATTTCAAAGTTTACCTCGTGGCTTTTCTCTATATAAATTTTTATTTTATTTTAAAAATCCGCAGTGATAACTTCAATCGGATATAATAAATTTGTTCATCTTGTCAATGATCATTCGGTCGTATATTAAATGCAATTAGAAGATCAGAGGGCAATTTTAGAAAAATAAATATTCTCCTAAGCACAAGAGTTTTCATTTTGCCCAATATTTTCATCGATCATGATAAGTAGAATTAAAGATTAAACAATATTTTAGAGATAATTTAGAATGATTCCATGTTTTCAAAATTGTTTTTGCTATTTTTTATAAACAGTCTGGTGCTTAGGTGAAAGTGATTTACCATTTCTGGTTAGACGTGCTCCACTGCTTTCTGAGGAGCTTCGACCACCAGGTCTATTGTGAAAGACAACTTGGCAAATCGCTCGCAGGCCTGGATTTAAGCTGGCAATATCCACTTATATCACTTCAATTTTAAGGAATAAATTTTTGAATAATGAATTTTTTCATGGTTTGATTAATAACAAAAAAAAAATTTCTGTAACTCTGTTATTTTACTTATCATTCGCAAGTGTTTCGATCTTTAGATCTTTATTTTTACATTTTACATTTTATATTTTTTCTGCTTCTTTCACCATCCATTATTTTGATGCTTCATTAATTTTCGATAAAATTTTCCATGGATATTATAAAAAATGAAGTGCCACTTTGGATAAAAAAAGCATTCAAAATTCTAAAATTATGATAGGCAATGGATGATGAAGATATGAAGAAAAGTATCTACAAGGGCAATATAATGTGATACACGAAGAAAAATAAGAGCATCTGGAAGTTAGAACAAAAAACTAAGTACAAGAGGGTGCTATAGAAGTCATAATTTAAAACATAGTTAATGGAATGTTTATGGGAACATTAGAAAGAAACACTCTGTTGCTGTCTTCGACTCAATTGGTAGAACAGCGCTGTGGAGAGTGATGAAATGCAGTGGTATTCCAGAGAAGATCATATGACTCATAAAGGCATTTTATTAGCGCAACTCTGTATATATGGGGAACTGACAGACTCTGAAATAAAAAATGGTGCGTATTCACTAATTCAATTGTGTAGACGATAAACTGGATAATGGTATCGTTTGTCGGCATTCAAGAGGTTTATCAGGTCTATCAGATCTATCCAGAGTCCAGAGCACAGCACCACAGACTTTGAATAATATAGTTCTTTTTGCTGGCAGTTATAAAGAAATGAAGATAATGCTAATCAATATGTCGGCAACTGCAGCGAGAATCAGGCTCAGGATCAATGTAAATAAAACGAAAGTCTTTTTGTTTGTACAAGAAGCTGATAAAATGCCTATTTTTATAAGTTCATTGCCAGTTGAGGAAATGCCAGATTTTAAATACCTTGGATCCACTCTGATACCGAATGGCCAAGCAAAAGACGAAATTACAACCCAGATAACAGCAGCTATACGTTCTTTCGTTGACGAAACTTTTATAGATCCATCGCGAAATCACCATTAAAACGAAAGTCCCGTATATATAGCAGCGATTCGTTCGATCTTGCTATATGGCCAATGAGAGTGGAGGATATTTAGAAATTACCTGGCTTTGAGCATTCATGTCTAAGGTACATTTTACGGCTTCGCCAAGTGGACGAAATCACACATAACCGCATTTATCTTCGTTCAAATACCACTTGCATTAACAATTCCATCACAAAAAACGTCGCCTTCGTTGGTTGTGATATATTCTTTGTTGCCCACAACGAAAGTTTACATACATTTTGCCAAACACTGTGATGGGTGATGTCAAAAACTAGGTGGGCCAACGTGGTCTGACACAGTCAGGAAAGATTTTGAACGTATAGGTGGACCAGCAATATATGTGTATATGTGTACAAAATAATGGGATAATTAATGATTGCATCGGAATGATACTCGCATGCCACGAGTTAATATTTTAAAAAATACTTGACTGCTCTAGCTGCTTTATCAGGACAGTAGTAGAAATACTGATTACCGTATAAAAGTGCACCGTACGTATAAAAGTTCTTCACATTACACCTCAAACTTGAGTAACTAAACCTCAGTAATATTGATTTAAAAAAATCACTTTCGATACAAATTAACTCCAAAGACTAAAAAACCAAACTATCTCAAAAACATTTAAAAAATGATGAACAATACAAAGGTTTTTAACAAAAAAAATGTTGAATATATTGAAATGTTGTGACCCAACCGCTTGAGTCCTTGATTGCTCCACAATGAGAAAAATAAATACAATTTTCTTGGGAAGCGTAAGAGTATATAAAGCGTATACAACCACTGTAAATTGAATTTGTGGTTTATTGATGCATTTAAATGGAATAGCAAAGAATTAATTAAATTAATGAAAGGGTTTCTTTTGGGGGCCAGTTTGAAGACTTGGACGATAGAAAAAGAAACGGAGAAATGGCTTCTATTACTTTCGACGTTAGCATAACGATGATACTGCGAATCAACCTATGTATAAAAACGTAGAATTCGTGCTGTACTAAAAATTTATTCCTAAATGTTTCTCTAGTTAAGGGATTTCAATCTGTGCAACTAGCCAAACCAGAAATATTGATTATTACTGCAAGAAGAAAGTAAATATTTTCCACCTATTGATTACAGCTTGATTATTTATCAAAGTAACAATATTTTTATGTGAGTCAGAAATTTCAGAAATTTTATTAATACTTTGATAAATAATCATCAAAATATTAATAAAATTTAAAAACTGAAACCAAAGATTTAAATTGACGATGCGAAATGAAATCAGTTTTTGCAGGTTTTTTTCATGAGAAATTAAAATTCTTTTATTTTTTTAGCGAATTTTTTAAATTAACGATAGTCTTTGGTAGCTTATAAATAACCATTTCTTCTTATCTACTATTGCCATTCTTTTAAGAATGGTTCGTTCATAATTTCAGTTCGCTACGTTGATAGTAATAGCATATTATAAATACGGTTGGAAATATTTGACACGGAATTATCTGTCACGATAGAAGTACAGATATATCGCCAGTATCAACCGGATTTTCTTTAATGACTTACAAATGGAGACAGGATCCGATCTTGACTCTCAACATGGTAGTCTGAACCGCTATATACTTAGCTGTCTTGCCCATTGCCGTTCTAGCAAACATATTTTCCGAATCATTCTTGTTTAGATTAAATCAGTTACGTTTCCTTCTTATTCATGTGTGAGCCAATCTGCCTAGTAATGAACAAATGAACAAAAGAAAAGACAAACGATATTTACATATCATAGACCAGGAAAATATCATTACATTTATATATATTACGAGGAATATAATTACGATACCAACACAAATTTTGAAAAATTGGTTGCTATGAAATTCAAATTTTAGCCTATCCTTCTAACAATTCACCATTTGCAATTTGAGTAGCTTCAATGAACCACATAGTCCTCTTAATGGCAGAAATGCAAAGTAAGTCGCCAGCACCATTCAGAAGTAATCAAGGAGCAGACTCTATATTATTTTATTAGAAACAATATTCCGACTCATGGAATGATTTGATAAAGTTATTAATGCACTTCTATTCTATCTATTGATAACTATAAATAGTACCAGCACGATGTGAAAGACAAACTCAAAGTCTAATGAAATAATGGCCATTATAGCCAATGGTCTTTTTCGTATTCCCTTCAGTTTATTGCCTTGTGAAATCGTTCCGTTCATTCCGCCAACGAAATATGTTTATTAGCTGCAAATCTGAAAAATTAAAAAAAGTTATTTGACCTTTACTAAATATATAAAGCATAGTTATATATTTACATAGTGCGAATTATAAACAGTTAAACGGAAACGTAATGGTTAAAAATAAATAAATAAGCCCATCGATAAAGGAATTTTTATGAAATAAATATTTTCTAAATAAAAATAACAATTATTTATTGCCGATTGATTGTCTCTTTAAATCACATGTGAAGTAGACGTGCCATCTAAATTGTATAATAATTTTCTGGGTATGTAAGAATTCACCTCTTAGAGAGAACGAAGAGACTAAAGTATTTCAGCCCTAATATGATACAGTCAGTGATATTGGCTTACTTAAACCAATTGCCACAATTTTGAGACTTTGTATGCAAAAATTGAAGTTTTTAAGTGTTGAATAAGAACTCCATTCCTCCATTTTCTTGACTCCTTTTTCAATATGGTTCACAAATCGTACAGTAATGTTTTCAGTAATGAAATATTTCAAACTCCTTTTAACTAATAAAAAAACACAAATTTCAACAAATTTTTATTCGTATAATATGTAATAATTCAAATGGCGAGTTTTAAGGACTAAAAATTTTTTCTTTGATGAGGCAAACACTAAGGGTTGCAAATAAGAAAATGAAACTGATAAAATTAATGCCAGCCAAGCTTTATATCGACAATAATAACAATAATTTGTTTGACATAATGGAAATAAAAAAGTCGGTAATAGACTCCGGTTGTGTCTGAACCAGTAAAGAACGTTTAGAGATTTTTTCGGCTCATTTTAAGAAGTAACAAATAAGAAGTATCAGTCTTCACATTTCACATTTTATTTACATTTTCCTGTAGCATCATCCAGAGTTTAATTCAATCTCGAATTATTCATAAAGATTTAGAATGGATAAATAAATTCAACAATATAATTTATATAATTTATTTAAAACAATTTCCCACGAATATATTGAGATAAATGGGCATAAATATACGAAATATGAACATTATATTAAATATAGAAGTTTTCTCCTTAATTATAGTTTAATGTCTCGTTGTATATGATTATCGATTATAAATATTGTGACAATAATAATGGAACAACAACTTACAAATTAAAGAATTCTACAAGAAGGACAGTGAATATTCTTAAAGAACTATGTTAATGTCAAATTTATTATGTGTGAAATCTTTTGCTTATATTCATCTCTCTCACAAATTGACCATGGATTAATTTCTTGTATTCCCTAAAGTTGGTGTTAATGTGCCATGTAGAAGCAGAAGAACTATTTTAGTTTTTTTCTGGTCATAAAATAATTCACGAAAAGACTTCATATATAATTGAAGATTATCAAATATCCTGGCTATTTGCAGTAAACACAGGTGATGCAACTTGCAGAACGAACCCGATTTAGGTTAATGGCATCCAAACTGTTATCTCGTAGATTTTTTATTGCATTTAGCTTTCTTCGCCATTCATCGTAAGCCCTTGTAAGAATAAAACGCCATTTCTCTTCGGTTTGTTTTTCTATATTATTGCTGCAATCCTTATGACATCCGCTATCCCCAGCGTCAGTATTATCTAAATCGTATTTGAAACGGTATTTATTTTCTTATATTTTGCTTACTATTTCGAAAAAATTTCATTTTTTTTCTATATTATCGCGAAAACAAAAAACTCCCATTTGTGCGGCATTATTTTCAAAAAGGAAGCGAAAATTAAAAAATTCTTAAAAATAGTGAATGAAAAAGTGCCTGATGTTTGAAGTGATGTTTTGACTAAATGTGATGCTGAGTTAGCCAATAATAAACTGTTCCACATTTCCTGGGATGTATGCTCATGTAAAGGTTTGCCATTAATAAATGAGCGACCATCAACCGTATATTCCACCATGCTTTTACTTCTCTGTAAAGATCGAATAATATCATCAGTTTTTTAATAAAATTACAATATAAAGGAATTAATTTAACCGACATTATTAACAAGTTCAAACGTAGTTCCATTCTTCATTTAAAATCTAAAAATATAAATGGCACATCAAAATGCGAGAAAAAGTATTTAAGGACAAACTTGTCTGAAAAGTACTGCTTTCGAAGGACTTGCGTAAAAATCAACCATATTTTCATTCCCGATATTGAGCATACCAATCATTTTATCAGCTGAAAATCACACTGAAAGCAAATTAACGAAAGAACTGAAAGTGATCGAATACGGAGAATGAATTAAGAGTAATCAAAGCATATTCGAAATATCGACTTAATATATCATGCTATCAATGAATTTATTGAAATTTTGACATTTAATTTGCTATTAATATCGAAAAATCGCTCTATTATAGAAAGAAAGATTGAGATTTTTAAAGCTGTAAGCATTTTTTTATCGGAGGCGTAAAACAAGTAACGTAGCAATTATATAATAAATTTCTTAGAAATGAACAAGCTGGAAAGCCGGAATTTGAGAATTCATTTGAAATAGGTTTTTAGAAATTTTCGGTCTAAAATCGGACAAGGAAACAGGAAGATTGATTGATATATTTTAACTGAGATCTGGGAATCATTGGTTTGATTCCTTTTTTCACTGAGAAAGGCCTATCAAAAAAAAACCGAGTCTTGCTGGGAATCCTCTATATTTTTATATCTCTTATATCTCTTAAGCAGGACCTCATCTTAACGATGAGTGGAACCAGCTAAGAAGATAGTTTTACTAGAAAATGCATTAATAAGAAGCGTAAATCGGAACAATGAAAATATACAAACAAGTTATATATGAAAGAAATAAATTTATTAGTTATGAATTGAGAATTATTATGAATTTAAAGCCTCAAAAACCTTTTTTTTCAAAAGCTTTTTTTAGATTTAATAGAAAAATGGACAAGAACACTTTGTTTCTGTACCACTTCAGCCTTCTTATCTGATAAATAAGATTGATTAAAAGGATGTACTCGATAAAAGTCGCACATTTGTGGAATGGCAAGTAAAGCTGGATAGATCATTTGATAAACCTATATTTCTGAAATTTCTGGCAGATGGAATTCATGATCATAAAAAGAAAATACTGATTCGTCTCTAGTCTCTTTACATCAAATTTCTGAACAACCATCACATAGATCAAATTTTATCAGTCCTTGTAACACATAATAAATATTTTGGCCAAATTTCAGAATGAATGCAAACAACTAAGTTGTATATTATCAAAGTAATATTATTATAAAATATAAAGTTGCAAAATAACACAAGCCTTGAAAAGATAGTGGTTTTCTTGAAAATATTGCTATCAACAATTATTTCATTCATTGGTTCATACTCTAAATAATAATAGTTACATTAATCGGGAATAAAGCCGACTGCGAAATTCATATAACTGCAAAACTGAGGAATTTTAAAATGTTGAGTTTGATATAATCTTTGAATTTAAATACAACTGATATCATCGCCGCTGAAAATTTTTTCCAATAAAAAAATTATTATTATATTAATCACTGAATTTTTTTAAAGGAGAATTTCGGTAATAATTAATGTTTTATTCAGAAAATACCTGAAAAACTTTTTTGCTTCCATCAGTAAGAAAATTTTACATTCTAAATTTCGAAATTCTTTATTAAATTCTGAAATAAAAATAAAAAGATGGTCATAATTTGTGAGTCTTGAGAGCTCTTCTGGCCTCATAGAATTTCGAAAGAAGGATGAAATGACTAAATAATACGCTTTTCCAATAATTATAGAAAAACCCCAATTTAGCTGCTCGATTCATTTTCTTCAAAACTGTAAAAGATGAAAACAAGTAGTATGAAATATGGAAAAAATTAATAATAATTTTTGTGAGTACGATAAAAAGATATCATTTTTTTTTGCAAAGAGTATGTACTGAACGTAAAAAAATATTCACATGACTTTTTATAAGAAATATTTTATTTGCTATATGTATATTTTATTATTTTATAGATAATTTCATAATTTTTTTTATACTATGTGTTTATTTTATATCGGTGGAATAGAAAATCAATGAGTTCCACAAAAAGCTTTCCAGTAAATCAGCCATGGTAAATCACTTCGATACATTTTAATTTGCAAATTAATTCACTTCAGTTAAAGTACATGTTAAAAAATTAAGGATGATCGCCCATAGGCAAGCTAATTTATCCATTTGCATGTTAAAAAGGCCTTCTACTTAACCTTTCTCCATAAATTTTTTTAAAGACCAGACAAAATATATGTGGTTTGCTGACACCTTCATAATAAATTTATCAACAGCTGAATAAAAAAAATCCATGTGGCCCAATAAAATGAAATTTTACCTTTAATTAACTACCGATATTTTAAAGAATGGTGCTAATAAATTGCATGCTGAATAGTGAATATGGACTTCGATAAAAAGCCAAAAAGCCAAACTTAATAACTTAATAATTTTAATCCACTGGATCCTACAGAATTTTAGTCAATGTTAGAATTTAATTTAATGCTACCGCACAAAATTTTATAAATAAACAACGATTAATTTATATTTGTTTTTATTTATTTTAAATTTAATCCTTCCAACAGCTTTTTTTTAAGAGTAATCACTAATTACTGGTTAGATTTATTTCGCTGGTTTATCGTACTGGACAAATATGCTAGGGAATCCCTTGGAGATAGAAGTACAGGTGAGTCCACAGCATTAACCGGGTTTTGGGCGAGTCAGTTCCTGTGGGAAATATAACCTCAGCAACGGCGGTTTGAATTGAGCAACAATTCACTGAGCTACACTATCCCTTCAACAGTGGTGGATTTAAATCAAATTTAATCGTTAAATTCGTGAAAACTTAAATTCAACTAAATTTGCTAAATTTTAAAAATTTAGATAATGCATAATTTTTTTCTTGAAAATAAAAAAATGGAAATAAAGGTTCCTTTTCATTGTTTTTTGGAAAAGACGATTGCAAATTATGTCATTTTAATTTCTGATTTGCATTTGTGCTAAAATTTGCTAAATTGAAGAAATTATGATTGTCTGATTGCTGAAGCAATATTTGCTACTACTGGTTAGACTTATTTCGCTGGTTTATCGTACTGGACAAATATGCTAGGGAATCCCTTGGCGAATATGCTAGGGAATATATTGCATATAATCAAAACGGTTACATATATAATGTACAGCGACCAACTCTTGTTCGAAACTCTTGTTGATTAAACAATATAGCAACAAAATTTGTACATCATTCTCCATATCTCAGTACATTTGTCCTCTTCTTTCTTTTCTAATAGGAATTTGCGACTTGGGCTGAGAGTTTGAACACAGTACGCGAAATCACATTTAACTGATTGAAAAGAAATATATAAATAAATATTTCAAGTTCTTTCCCAAGCTACTTTTCCATTCCCTACAAGATTCATTCAATGTTCATTATAAACTGATTGAATTTTACGAATGGTTAACTGGTTCATGGTTAATGGTTAATGGTTTTTTTCTTGGGAAAAAACTTATTCGCTTTGCAAATTAAATTAATTTATTCTTCTATTTATTTGTTAGTTAGTGATTAATATTCTCCATTTCAGATTAAGATCGCTCCATTGGCTATTAGAATGTGCGAGTTAATTGATGGAATTATAGAAAATAGAGGTGAATGGCCGGCAGCGTGTAAATTTTTTTATTTTTAATACCCTGGAAATGGTGATCGAAGCAATAAACCGCTTATTTCTAGTAATTCGTTGTGAATTAGTAAAATCGAACGGAAAAAAAGAAAATTAATTGCGAAGATTTAACAACAAAATATTCAAGCACGATGCTGTCAATTCAGCGCTTAGAAAAAATGCTTTTTCCTTTGCTTAGTTGCATTCAATTTTATATTTTTGTTCTAATGTTGTTGAAAACATTTGTGTAAATCGCACGCTTCCATTCTATATCGTTCAATCGATTTTCGAAGGTTTTTTGATTATAAGACTGGTTTCGAATATCACCCATGTCCTTGCTTTTGCCTATTCTTACATAAGCGGTTATTCTGAAGGGCTTTTGAATTTTTATATGTGTCTCTCACTGCAGTTTTTTTCGTTATTATAGGCATTTAAATCGCTTTTTCCAATTTTTGCATTAAATCATTTGTTTCCTTTTGCGATGGTGATAAGCGATCTACCTCATCAACTGATAAGACATAGTTAGCTAAGTCTAATATGATAAAGCCAAAGCAATATAAGCAAACACCTTAATATTCTATGCGACAGTGGCAATTTTTAATGGTTTTCTTGATATTATTTCATTTTTTTGCTTCGATTTTTGGTATTCCTTTCTGTTAATCGTTAAACCATATAAAATTGTTAATATTCTTTCTTAGGAAAATATTCAAATTCTGTAGAAAACCACAAAGGAATGCGTCGATCTTTAATAAATCTAGGTATGTCTTCTAAAAATCTAAAACAATCTCCAAAACAATGTTACGAGAAACCAGAGATATTTATTAGATATTTCTTCTTTTTCCAATTATTTTCGGTAATTGAGCGATTAATTCGAAACCAGTTGGACGATAAGAAAATTAAAATATGAAATTTTACTGTTGTGGGGCCTAATGTGATCATATTTGGCTGCCAAAAAAATAAACAACTGATGAAAGAAAAAAGTACTAATAAAATAATATTTTTACATTAAGTGACAATGAAAATGTGCTGATTGTTTCGAAATTTGAACTACAATTGAACTAAATTTAGCAAGATTTCAATATCTGAAACATGGTCAATGTAAAATTTTACAGCTATCCATTACAAGATAGTTGTTGTTGGTGGCGGCACAGGTGGTTGTGCAGTGTCAAACAGATTTCGAAAACTTGTATCCAAGGGTCAAATTGCCATTGTCGAACCGAACTATGTTAGTATAATCCAAATTTCTTAAAATTTTTGAAACTATTTTATTTATTATTAGATTTAAATCAGATCAGATTACTAAAGTTTTTAGGAACACTTTAATCAATCAGCTTACACTTTGGTCGGTGGTGGTTTAATGTCACTGGTTAGTTGCAGAAGACCTATGAATAGCGTTCTTCATCCTGGTAATATTTGGATCCAGCAATCGGTTAAAGAAATCAATGCAAAGAATAATTCCCTCATAGTTGGGTTAATATTTTAATTTCTACATTGCGCATTTGATAATTTAATTCAATTGTTTTTGCAGTTTCTCATTCCAGTTTTTGAAACAAATTTTTTTTGATTGCTCACTATTTCTGATTGAGCTAATAGGTTGATTTATTCAGACCTGAATAATTTTTGCTAGCGAAGTATGAGTCTATTGCACAAGGGTTTTTGAAAGATTTAATCTTGTCAAGTGTAGAACTAAAGAGTCGGCATTCTGAAATGAAATGAGAACAGGGACTCACTGAACTTTTCTACTTCCAAAAACTAAGATAAACATAAATTGGATCCAACAAAAATTTTTAGGGATGGTTCTGAAATCAAGTACGATTTACTGATTATAGCTGTTGGGTTGCAACTTCGATATGATATGGTGAGTTTATTGTAAAGTGAAATATGATGAAGCGATTTTTTTTATTAGCTAAAATTAATTCTGAGTAGAAATATTCTTTCTTCGATCAGTCTTGCGAATTTCCTAATAAAAAAAGCATTGGAAATAAAAAACTTTTATCCACAATTTGAGGTCGAAGGGTTGGACGAAGCATTGAAACAGCCACATGTTTGCAGCATATACAAAAGTGAGCTGGTTGGTGATGTCTATCACAAACTACAAAAATTTAGCAAAGGTACTGCTATTTTTACGTTACCGAGTGGTCCAATTAAATGCTCCGGAGCTGGTCAAAAAATCTGCTATCTAGCAGATGAGATTTTTAAGAAGGTAATGATTCAGTAGATTAAGATTATCTTTCAGCCAAGCAAAATATTTTTATCTGTTATTAGTACATATATTTTTGTTTACTTGAAGTCAATTGAAATTTCTGTAAAAAATTTATTTTTTAGAATCGAACTGTGTCATTTTAATAATCTTAAATGCCTTCATATGTTCATCATTGAAGTTTTCCCTTTAGTCAATTATTTTATCGAATGAATTTTTTTTACATTTTTTCAAGCAAAAATGAAGTTTATGGAAGTTATGGAATTAAAATAAAAAATCTTATATCTTTGTTAATTTTGCATTTTGTGAGCAATGGAAGTGAATTGCAGAAGGGAGTTCGAAATAATATACAGCTGGTTTATAATACTTATTTGAATGACATTTTTGATGTTCCAAAGTATGCAAAAGCACTGAACGAAGTTGCTAAAGAAAAATCTATCATAGTTCATCTCCGCCGAAATTTGAAAATTGTTGATCTTATAAAAAAGGAAGCCGTTTTTGAGATTCTGGATACAGATGCAAAAGCAACTGGTGAAACTGATACCCAAAATGTTAGTGTTTTTTGTTGATAATGCCAATGAAACTGTTCATTTATCGTCCACTAATGCTTCATTTCTTTTTCATCATAGTAAACATCAGCTATCAAAGTCGCCTATTTTCTGGATATCTTTTTCCCATTCTTTTATTAACATCCCCCTCAATGCTTTAACTGGCTCTACTGATTGTTAGGACTACCAAAACTATAAATTATAATAAGTGGTCATAAGCATCATCTAGATTATACTCTTATTGGCAGGTTCTTGTAAAAAATATATAGAATCGGGCCTATGATAGCTTGATATTAATCAGAGCAACATAATGCTCCTTAGCATCATAGAGTTTTCTTTAATATTCATAGTACTTTAATCTATTTTCTTGCAGTTCAATTTTCTTCACGTAGCACCACCGTGTTCTTCAACAGAATTGCTACGTAATACTAAAGATATCACTGATGCTAATGGCTTTCTTGACGTGGACCCACGAACTCTACAATCCAACAACTATGGCAATATATTCGGAATTGGCGATTGCCTTGGATCCCCAAATAAAAAAACTGCTGCTGCAGTCTGTAAATATTTCGAGATTTTATTGTGAATCTGACTCTCTTCTTTTTGTTATAATCGACCAAATAAAATATTTAAACATTAAATAAAAGTAATCGAAAAAATACCAGTAAAATTGTTTTTGATAATTTGTTCTTTCCGCTTAGGATCTTTAATAATTTTCTTCAAGAAATCCAGAAATCCAGAAATTTTAAAATTGAAATCTTGTGTTTTGTAGACAGCCAAATGAAGGCATTATCAATCAACATACCAGCCTTTCTGAAGGGGAAGAAATTAACAGGAGAGGTATTTTTTTACAATTTTCTTGAATTAAATTTTCATTTGTATTTAGCCATAATAAAATTGTGATATTTCAAATAATTATTCACAGATTTTGGCACTTTTAGTACAATTTGTACTCGTCATGCCCGCTTATTGTGGATTTCAAACGCGTGGTTTTGGCTGAATTCACGCCAGACGGGCCTTTGGAAACGTTACCATTTGACCAAGGGCGTCCACTTCGTAGTGCATTCATTTTAAAACGATACATTTTGCCTTTTTTGTATTGGAACTTTGGAGTAAAAGGAAACTGGTTAGGTCCGTCTGCTATTCGAAAACTTCTTCGCTTTGGAAAGAATTAAGAATATGAGCTATTATCGTAGAGAAATTATGATATCTTAATTAACCATATTGCATAATTCTCTTGATGGCCCTCTATCCATTTGCATTTTGATCCATGAATTACTTGCTTATCATTCTTCATTCTTAATATTTATAAATCATATCAACATATCATTAAATACTTATTAAATGCAAAAGCTCAATGTTTTATATAATTTTTTCGGAAGCATTAAAAACTGAAAACGAATGATCTTCAAAGGCAAAAGACTGAAGCCATTGTTTTTTTCGCCACTGGCCTTTGTTTCCATATAATGATAATAGTAATAAATTTCATTTCCAGAAATAAATTATGTTCTTGCTGTCTTCTCTTAAAACATCAAATTTGGTATAAAACAGGTTATTTCTTTTTAAAATCCCAAGGATTCATTCGACTATAACAAGGCATGGTTTTTGGAAGTTATCTTAGCAGCTTCAAATGTGGATGGAAATTTTGTTTGTCAAAACGTTATTTTTAAAGCCTCATCCTGGAAACAATAGTTGTGTGCTCAAAAGTGAGCAAAACTCATTTCATTCGGTCAGAAACGAAAGGTCGACAATTAATTGAAGCAAATGACCCCCAAGTGAGATGATTTTACAAGACCAACAATTTCAATCGATAAATCAAATGGCCAAAAAGTGGCTGTTTCTTTTATCTCTTTCTTTTTATTATTTGTGATATATTTTATCGTTTTGCGTGGTGATGGTGTACGTTGTCACGATTTTTATTTCAAATAAAGGCTTAATTACCAAAGTTTGAGGTGCGAACGATAAAATACGATAACGGAGAAACTGATGAACAAAGCAGCAAAACATTTTGAGTTTTGTCGTTATGTTATTCCTCCAGAAAGTAAGCCTTGATGCAGAGATGAACAATGAACATCAACTTATTCAGAAGGGAATGAAGTAGAACGATATTAGATTGTATATTTAATTTGTAGTTAGCAACGTTTTAGACTGGCAACAATCGAATATGAAAAAATGAGAACGTTATTATTTTCTCTTCATTATTAATTGCAAAATTCTTTACGCTTTTGCAACTTTGACTGTGGCCGAGAAGACTATACCTTTCAGCTGTACCTTTTGACTTTATCCAGGCTCGAAGCATCAACTCAATTGGCATATAAACTGATTCGAAGCATTAAGCAACGAAAATTCTCAATTCATTCGAAATAAGTATAGGTTAATAAAATCAAAATTGGCCATAATTTCCGTTAATCCAAAACTCTAATAAAAAGTTTCGATATCTACCGAGAATTGAGGAAAAAATTGGGCTTAGTTCAAACTATTCTTGCATCGCTGGTTCTTCGAATTTTTTTAGGAGATAACCGTGGATTTCAATTGCTGTGGATAAACTGTCAATTACTAAAGAGGCTGCGATTTATTTTATTGATACAGCAACTTGACTGAATCTAGATAGTGAAAATATATCAATAATGGTTATAATGTTAACAAAGTTTGAAATTTGCAGTTTCAATAAAATTAACTATAATAATAAATTATTTTTAGATTGACAGTAAGTAAATTGATCTCTCCTTAGTTTCCTTGGTGTTAACGTTGGTTTTGAGCCTACTGCCAATTTATATAAGAGCAAACAAGCATTTATATATATGAAATTGACATTGTTGAGTCCCTATAAGTTTAGCGAGATTCAGTTGGAACTGGGTTTAAATTTGATTAATTATAATATGATTTGATTAATTATAATAATTTGATTGATTATAATATGAAGATATGACTATTTTATCAAAAATTTTCATTATTAATTTGAATAAACCAGAAGTGCTAATAGATTCAGTGAAATCATAAAAGCAACAAATTTATTTCCTAATTGATGCTAAATTTGCAATATTGTAACTTAAATTTTTGGTTGCAGGAGATTGCGAAAAGTATTTTTTGCGCATCTATCAACAATCTACAATTAAGAACCAATCTTCACAAGTTTTTAACTCTATTTTATATTGAAAAATTGCAAAGTTGACAATTTTGTAAATTGGCAATTGATAATTTTGGAAAATCTTTTTATAATTAATAGAGATATATCTATCTGATGCAAAATTTTTGCTACCATTTTTGAAAATTGCAAAGCAAAAAAACTCGGAAAATTTGGAAAGGAAAAAAATATTTTTCGTCATTTAAAACTTTTATATCCCAATTTAATTTTAATTTTTGCCGTTCAATTTGCGATTATTGTGACAAAATTACAACTCGGATAACGATAGTTACTAATGCGTTTCTCTTGTTGGAGTCATCGCGAAATTGCTATAAAAATAAGAGTCCACGTCCATATAGCTATGATCTGCTCGATCTTGCTATATGATATGACCAATGAGAGTGAAAGATATTAAGAAGTTACCTTTGACAAATCATATCTAAGGTATATTTTACGGGTTCGCCGAACGTATAAAATCTCACGTGATTGCATTTATCTTCGTTAAAATTTGCATTAACAGTACCATCATACAACGTCTTCTTCGTTGGTTAAGGCACATTCTTTGACGCTCACCACAATGCTGGTACATATTTCGTTACTTCATAAACTCTATGATGGGTGGTGCTAAAGGCGAGGTGAGCCAATCAAGACCTAGACGATACAGTCAGGAAAAATTTTGAACGTATAGGTGGATCAGCAATATATGGACTTAAAAAGGAATGGCTTCTATTACTGTCAACAGAGGCATTAAATCGCAACATGGAATCGTTTTCCCTTATAGCCAGTGAAGTCAGCCTAATCAGTAATGAGAGTTGTTAAAAAAAGGTCTTATTCAATATATAAAGTAGCAATAAAACACTTTGGTTGTTTCTAGATAAATAGGTATTTAGTGATAAAATCTAAAATTCTCTTAATTTCTTTCGGGCTTATTTGATGCAAAAGTTTTCGAAATCTCGAAATAACCAAAATTTAAATAAAGGCTTTTGGTTGGACAACAGAAATTTTCGAAGAAGGTTAGAAAATAATCATTCATTTTTAGATAAAGCTTAATAATCATAAATTGCTATAGTTGCAGTGATAGTTCCAATTTTAACCAAAACTCAACGACTTTATTAATAATATTAAAAATGCCTTCAACACGATGTCATTGCCATTGCCATTCATGAGTCGTGTTTGGTCGACAATCGCATTGCCATCACTTTTCTTGTTACTTTAATACCATCGATTCCATAATTTTTTTTGGAAATCATCAGTTCGCTAAATTTACCAATTTCTTGCATTATTAAATTTCAATTTAAATTTTAAGTTTTGTGAGGCGAAATTTGCTTCACAGTGTGGAACTTAAAAGTTTTTGCATTCTAATTTATAATTTAATTTAATAACAAATTTATTTGCTTGATGTTTTAGAGCTGTGTCATCTACGAATAATAAGTCGAAGCGTGACAAAGATTTCAATAGTGCCACTACAGCTAATTGTCTTACCACGAATAGGCGAATAACTAAAACTGCCCATGTTCAGGACCGAAAACTCATGGTGAATGGATGGAGTCGGATTGAGGTGTGGATTTTGAAATGTATTCAGTCTGGTTAATTTATCAACTCATCAGATCATAGACCAGAAGACCGCAAATATTCTTTCCTTCCTGTGATTAACTGTAATCTGATATTATCATGATAAAAATCCTAAATTTTTTTTTATTCTAAGTTTTTATTCCTTTATTCCTTTTTTTATTGTAATATTCTAAATTTTCGAGCCGTTTTATGTAGAAAATTATGCTAAAAAATTAAGATTTTTTTATTTTTTAAATGAGAAACTATTAATTCATCAAAAAAGCTTCACCTAAATCCCTTTTTAGACTATATTGACAATAGAGAATATACAGGTATTCATCTGCGCGTTTCAAACAGCATACCTAATTTCTTACCACTACTTCTCCTGCAAAATCTTAAAAATGCAGTAAATGTAGTAATAGAAAATTGATAGTTGTGGTAGTTTTCTTCTCCTAATAGTAGCTCTAACCATTATTAATTATTAATTAATTAGGCTGGCTCCAACGGCTACAGGGGGAAGACTTTCCAAGCTTCTCGACAGGACGCCATTGCTAGTAGTGATAGAAGCCATTCCTTTTTCCATCTAAGTCCATATATCGCTTATCCCCCTATACCTTCAAAATCTCTCCTGATTGTATCAGTCCAGATTTACCGGCTTTTGATGTCATCCATCACTCCGGCATGTAGCGAAATATGCTTCAAGTGGTGGACGACGGACGTGAACGGACGGATGAACGTGCCCTAACCAGCAAAGGCGACGCTCTATGATAACATTATTAATACAAATGTTATTTGAGCGAAGATGGATACTACCATGTGCGATTTTATCCCCTCGATGGATTCATAAAATATCTTAGATGAGTGATCAAAGTCTGATAGCTTCTTAAAATCTTCCACTCTCATTGGCCATGTTTCGCAGCCATATAGCAAGATAGAGCTAATTGCAGCTACATGGATGCGGATTATTTTCATCTTTATGGTGATTTCACGACGGTTCCATAGAAGTTTTATTAATCGGAAAACACATGTCGTTATCTGGTTTACTATTTCATCCTTTGCCTGGCCAATTGAGATTAGAGTAGATCCAAGGTATTTAAGTCCAGCACTTCCTCAACCGGTAATGAATTGAAAAATAAGTATTTTATCAGTATCTTGTTTATAAGACGAAAAAATTTTCGTCTTATTTAAGTTGTGATAATAATTCTATAATATGGTAATACTATGATTGGTCCAGTTCGTTAATATAAACAGATAAGTGCATTATATAGACGAATTGTAATGGTATCAGCGTATTACATGAATATCAACACTCATTTCTTACTTATAATAGAGAATTCTGAAGATATGCGATTGAATCTATACAATGTTTATTATGATGTAAATATTACATCTATAAATATTACATGCTATGATAATGGAATGTGTTAGCAGTTGGTAACAAAAAGAAAAGAAATGTATTCATTTCTTGCAGTTCTCTATTAAAATCAAAGCTGCCAATGA